AGCTTCTTCTGTGGCGAAGCAGTTCGTTCATTTGGCGATAGAAGTCGTCTTTTACTGAGTCATCGCTACAGTTTGTCGGTGCATAGGCAGCGATAACGAATAGACACCTGTTAGTCCCACGCGACTTCGAAGTTTTGAACGAGCCAGCCAATCGGACCGCACACATCCGGCTACTGATTGGAATCCAATCAACCAGAGTAGCTTCAGCCCGGGGACACAAGGCAATACCAACACCGGCTTGGCCGGTGCTCGAAGCTGCATCGTCACCGGATAGGCGCAATGAGAAAGTGCTGCTAGTGTCATCTGAAGGGGATCACAAAGTGAGTACAGAGCTCGAGACTTGCAGGCGAGTCTCCGATAAGTAGCAGATATCGATCGAGAGGGTCTCTAATGTTCGGGCAAGTGCTGCCTGTTGACCGATCTGAAGCAATGTGCGAACATTGAAGCATGCGAATCTGAAGGAGGATCGAGGGCTCCAAATGGAAGCCGATGAACTGGGCTTGACCGCTTGCTTGGACATGGGCCTGTTGACAGTGCACGAATGACGCTCCGCGTTCACATGTGAGTCGAAACTAAAAGACAAGCGACTATTGAAACAAGGTTGGGGAGGGCCGAGAATTGGGGGTTGAAAACAGGTGGGATAAAAGTGAAGCTGGAACGGGACGATAAGGGTGAAAAAGTGCAAGAGAGGGAATAAGAAGACGGAGAGGCTTGAGCAGTAGCATCCAAACCCCTATACACCCTGCTCGATGCAGCAGATAGGGCACCGTTGATTATCCTCTGCGGTGGACAAAGCATCAGAAATTTGTTTGAAGAGGAATTCATTGTATTGCGTGGGCAGGATACTGTCAAGTTGCCCAGGCCTAGACAGGAGGACGATTAGGGTTCTCAACAAAAGCCTTTAGTTGAAAAACCTGACTGCAAGGCAGCGGGTTTGGCACTGGGCTACACGTAGTCCGTTTTAAGGAAAAAGGAGCACCCTCATTCCAACCTCCACCTGGAGGACCAGGAGACTGAGTTTGTCTGGCCTCTAACCATTGACCAATCTGGTATGAGTGGCTCTGTAGGTGTAAAAATTCACCACCCAGCATAGCTCAATGGATCGCTGAGGCACACAAACCATCGCACCACGGTAAGGTCCAGCCTGTAACATTTGACCAGTCTGTTATGTATGGATCCGAATGTGCAAACAACACCGCCCAACATAGCTCAATGGATCGCTGAGGCGCGCAAACGATCGCACCACGGTAAGGTCCAACCTCATTGCGATGGCACTTTCATCTGCACTGGTATTGGAAATTAGATCGTTGTATATCCCAGTTAAGTTTGGAATTGTGTAGCTCAGCTACCTTCCTTCATAGTTCAATGGCTTAAGCTGTTGATTAGTTGGCGTCAGTCTCTAACGATCATGTGTTCGATCCCCAGTTTGGGGACCGAAGGATGCGAGTACTGACTAGCTCCAGTAGGGCGAAACGCGCGTCTGGTGTCTTTCCGGATGAGGGTTATGCAATGTAGTTTGTGTTCTGCTTGGACGAATACATTAAGGTCGTTGATTGTTGCTCTAGGCAACAAAATCTTGTAGGGCTGTTTGACAGTTGTGGGTGTTTGCGGGTTTGCAACTGCTTGGGGCCTGCAAAAATGTTGCGGCCACCCCGCGCAGCAAAATCAGTTACTACGCCACTGCGTGTTGCTTTCTCGAATGGAATGTTCTATTATTATGGGTCCTGTTTAACATCGTTCAGGCATGATAGCAGTGTTGCTGGTACTCGCGCTCATTTGCCTCCTGTTCTTAAATTCTCAATCTAACCGGTCTTCTTCTGTTGCTGTACTTTTCATGGCAATATTAAAAGTAGCAACTGCACTCACCACATTTCGGTTCATTTATTTTGGCTGTCCAACTTTGCTGAGCTGCGCTATCAGTGTTTTCAACTCGGTCTCAAACCTAAACTTATATTAACGTCACCACTCTTCAATGCAAATATACGCATTGGAGTGCGTCTTACACATGTTCAGCTTTGCCATGTTACTATAGTTTATGTAAAATCTACAATACTTCAAGAGTGTTGATCGGTCTGGTGCGCATGTCTTACTTCCAGTCACGCCCATGCGTATCACCGGATGATTCTTTCTCTTCTCAGCTCTACGAATTAACAGACTTTGATGTTCCTTTCCCCTTATTTTAATTCACTTTAACAGCGCTACCTGATTGTTTTTAAGCTTCTGTTAATGATGCATGAGGCGGAAGAACCGAGCTTTCGTTCTAACCATCCCCTTTCCGAGGTCATTTGTTTATGCAGCCTTAGCTTTCCGATTATCATTCAAGGCACTGAACTCTCTGCTATTTCCACTAAACTCTAGAGATACTTTTGTATTTTTGTTCGTCGCAATCAGCTGACAATTCAGATATGTCGACCAGCTGTCCGGAAAAGCACCAGACGGCCGTTTCGCCCTATTGGGGCTCATCAGTGGTGCGCATCCTTCGGTCCTCTGCGGAGGATCGAACCCATGACTGCTAGTGGCTCTTGCCAACTAGCCCGCAGCTTATGCAACTGCGCCATGGAGGACGGTATCTGACTATCGTGAATTGTTAGCTAAATGCGATATAGCCCGACGCATCCTCCACTGCCATGCAGGCACCTGCCATGCAGATGACAGCGGTCGGCCTTCCGGCGTCAGGACTTCCCGGTTACGGCAGCTATGAATCGACATAGCATTTTGTGGAATCCGTATGGGCGACTTGGTATTACTTATGAATGGAAGGATTTTGGTGAGTATTTTTGTTCGTCGCAATCAGCCGACAATTCAGATATGTCGACCAGCTGTCATCTGCATGGCAGGTGCCTGCATGGCAGTGGAGGATGCGTCGGGCTATATCGCATTTAGCTAACAATTCACGATAGTCAGATACCGTCCTCCATGGCGCAGTTGCATAAGCTGCGGGCTAGTTGGCAAGAGCCATTAGCAGTCATGGGTTCGATCCTCCGCAGAGGACCGAAGGATGCGCACCACTGATGAGCCCCAATAGGGCGAAACGGCCGTCTGGTGCTTTTCCGGACAGCTGGTCGACATATCTGAATTGTCAGCTGATTGCGACGAACAAAAATACTCACCAAAATCCTTCCATTTATAAGATACTTTTGTCATTGCCTGCTCACCTGACCAAGAGCTCGGAGGTTGATCGTTGGTTATGGTGGCTGATGATTAATAGCCGTGGCATTGGGAGTATCTGATTCCGGTCGCATTAGACTGGAGCACAGACTCAAGACCGATTTCAGTGATGAAAACTATACCTATTTACAGGTTCACCTGATGGGTCCATGTTTCCTGAATCACAGGGACACACCTGGAATGTTAACCTTTCTCTCATTCTGAACATGATAAACAACCTGGATTCGATAACCCCTCTTCCACCTTGCTGGAACTTAGTGCGACCAGCCCTTTATGGGCTGTGACGCTGTCTTTTGCATCTCAATGAGGAATTTTCTCCACAATGGCAACTCTTCCGCATGTTCTAAAACATCACCGAACGTTGTGTAAAATTCATCCTGGATCTAGTTTCACGGCACATACCTCCTACTATATTGTACGCATCAACCTACTGCGATTTATTGGTTCTTAGGAAACTAAAATCCCCAAAAACGAAATCGGATCATGCGCTGGTGGCGAATGTATTGCCAGACGCTGGGACCGCGTATCACCCTCGGACGCTTCGCTACTGCTTTCTCTGATTTTAAATCCGTCTGAATCCATTTAGCCCAACTGCTCGTAACCTCTGTTTTGAAGTGCGTGTCGGACAAATTCTGCCTTTTTTCTTATAACCATTTATCACCATTTCTTAAATCAGGCGCAGGCTTACCATGCTCCCCGATGATAAGCAGTTTTCATCATGGATCTCATATGTTTCTTTTACTCTGACTAATCGCAGTTTATTCATGACTTTCCCCATTCTGCTTTTTTTCGAAGTAATAGCTGTGCCTGTTGTCTACTAGATCTTTCCTACAGTCAAATCTAGATACTGTGCAAACCATTCTCGGTAAGCCGTCACATTATGCTGCAACATTCGGCAGGTACCTAGCAACTTCAAAGTGTCAATACGGTAGTAACGTGTCATCTCTCGCTGATGTGACCTATATCTACTCAACTAGTTAGCGGTTTATTTAATTGGTCGCAGTACTCGTGGCATGGTTGCAACACTGTACCTTTGGCACCGGATAGCATTCTAAGGCTTCACTAGTATGTGATGATGATTGAATTTATTGGCGATTGAGAGCAGAGTGCACAATGCGACGACTACTGCTGCGCGGGTTAGTGACATGAACATATCATCCTATGCGCATTAACAAGCTGATCTTTGACAATCTGTATTCAAGCGGCACCGCTGATTTGTGCCTACCAACTGAGCCTCTCGAAGGTCTGCAAGCTAGTGTCGGATACCAAGCCACATGGTGCGCAACATATTCCTGTTTGGTAAAGGTGTCATATGCGTTAGGATATTTAATTCACTGTCCGCCTACCTTGGCAGCGACGACGAAGCGTGGAATAATTACTTTAAAGTCAGGACTGTATTGTTGCCCTTGGATCGTTACATCGATGAATATTGACCTAGAATCAACTATACATCGCTTTTCTGCATGTCTACTTGTTTAACAACTTCTTTGGGGCCAGTTCCATCTGCAGGTACTTGAAGTTTCGTTTTTATCCAGTAAAACTTAAAACCAAGAAAAATCGTCATTCCAACAAAAACATTTTGGACCGATGGTTGCAGCAGAAGCACTAGGTCGTTTCAGGAACACTCAAAGCCGTCACGTAGCGTGTGTACCCACTTCCTACTGACTGACGAAACCAAACTACTGGTCACGACCGCTGTTTTTAGAAATGCGTATTCCTGATTTGAGCTTTAAATTTCCGTTCATTCCTAGACTACTTATTCCCGTTTAAATAGCTGCTTTTCCAACATGCTTTTAAGTCAAGATGTTCTGGATTTTCTGGATTTGTTTACAGGGGACAGGATCAGTTCAATCGGAATCGCTTAGAAAGGACTAACCGTTTCCTCGGATCTAATACTTTTCCTTTCTAACCGCTCTGATTGCCTTTCTTCTAGGTACTCTCTTGCATTACGTTTCAGCCTATTGCGGCACTATATTTGATACTCGTTACGACACATTACCTTGTCTTTGAAAAATGGAAAGTCCCAAAACTTTGTTCATTGATTTAACCGATGAAGTTGCGGAAGCTGCTCAAGTGGAGCCTTCTGTCGCCAGTCGCGTCATCTCTTTCTTCGACAAAGGATTCACTGTACCATTCATCGCTCGATACAGGAAGGAGGCCACTGGAGGATTACAGCCTACGGTGCTCCATCGTTTGAAGGAAAAGATTAACGACTGCAGGTACGTCTTTATTCAATACAATTTCATGTCAGTTAAGATTATTGATGGAGAAAATTGATAAATCTCTTCAATATTTCAACAAGAAGGGTCTTATGACTGATGAGTTATCTCGAAAATTGAGACAGTGCAGATCGGCAGATGAGGTTAAGCTTATCGTGAGTCCATCTTCTTTTCTGTGTGAATGTATTTATAGACAGAACCTCTGAAACCCAAAGGACCACGCACTCTCTCGGCCCGTGCAAGGGCTTTGGATTTGGAGCCCTTGGCGCTGAAGGTGCTTAACTCTAAATGTTTCGTGGACCTTTTCAAAGAAGCACCACCAGCAGCCCTAAGTATGTTCACCCTTTTGATTGATCTCGTTGTCCATGGAACTTCAGTCACCTCACTCACATTAACATGCACAGTTATGTAGAAGTGCATGTCCCTCTTACCCTTTGCGCATTTTGACTTTTAGATTGTCAACTTTGTCAACGCCACACTTGGCGAATTCGTCTTTTGATGACACTTGAAGCAACGACACTATCCATAGCTTCCAACTACATTCGTGAATGACATTGTACCTCATAGACACTTCGTGTTTATCTCGCCCATCGTACTGCTCCTACTTCCTCTGATCAGGCTCTGTTAGAAATTCATGTCGTCTTGTTCCTATTTGTGCGATTTATTCGCACCTCAGCCTCTGGGCCGAAGGTTGCTTTCATGTCTCAGCCTTCAGACAACCAAGTAGGTTGCATCATTTGCATAAGTTTTCTCCATTCGAAACTCGCTGTCAGCTCATCCTCTATATTGCTTTCTTGAACTATACCATCCTTAGCCGATCGCGATCTGGTGTTATGATTAATCGTATCTGTGGCATCCAACTCTTCCCTCTGGGATGCAGCCTGCGATGACCATCGTTATATACTTATTAATCGTCCGGTCGCGTCGCACGGGCTGTCATCACTCGTCCATCGGATTTCTTTTCCCGTTTTGTGGTCGACCGACGATGATGCGATTGTTGTTTTTCTGAAATGCTACTTACGTAACTGTGCCCTACTCCACACGCACACACACACACACACACGAGTACTTTTGGACTCCGGGATAGGGTTGTTCAGACCAATTGCTTTCTGAAAAGAACTTTTGAACTGATGGTACAGTGTAGGAAAGACTGCGTGCATTATTTCGAGAAATATCATCGTCCGGATAGGAGTGTGGGAGCGCTGACTAGGTGCGGAGTCCGAAAATAGCCATGTCCCGTCGTCCTTACTGGATGTTGGAAAGAAAATCTTGTTGGTATCCCAATGATATATTTTGGGAGACTCCCGAAAATACACTACGACAGTAGAGCAGAAAGGTTGCACAGGGAAAACACAGGTGGTAGTTGGCTAGATGGTATAAGCCAGAGTTCAAAGTAAGTTGTCTATTGATTGTATGCACATCAATAGCTTTTGAATGATGTGGTTAGAGAGTCACATGATTGGGGCTAGTATCTTCCCTGTGCAAAGAGAAATAAGCTAAAAATAGCAAAATAAGTTAAAGCTCCTACAGGAGTATCTTATAAATTACACCTTTCATGGGCACTTATTATAAGCAGTGTGACTGAGGAACTGGGCTGGCTTGCCGAACTACCTCCTCGTGGTGCCAGCTGGGTGGTTCGGGTGTACCCCGTTCAAGCAAAGTGTTCGGTGACAATGTTCCACCTCGGTGGGCCATTGTATTCCAGCGATTGTGCTGATTTCATGTGGAGTATTGGGCCCCTGTTTGATGATCTACCAAACAAAGACTCATGAACTGAACATTCAGCCAGCGTCTCCCAATGGGCGCGATTACCTAAATTCGCCCCGCTGCCTTGCAGGTAGGTTATTTAGCCAAAGGCTCGGGTGGAGTCCCCTAAGTCAACTCCCTACTTCGGCTTGGGCAACCGGGTAGTACCAGGCCCTATCACAAAGCCATGGACTGTACTACAACGTGCTCATTGGCTACTGTTTCCGCTTCTCACCTTCACGCGATTTCATCACACGCCAATTGTTCGTTTGCTAACAATCCTCACTTTCCGTTACCCGATTCATAGGTTCAACAATCTGGCTGCGATTCCGGTTGCGCCGCAGACCAAGGAATTCAACCTATGGCTCTCCTTCGTCCCCGATCCTCGTTCCGTCTGGCGTGCTTCAACGTCCGGACACTCATGCAGATTGGACAGCAAGCCGGTCTAGCGCGCACTCTAGATTCCCTTGACATTGATGTCTGCTGCCTTTCAGAAACCCGATTGCAAGATCCCAGCACTGTGCTTACATTGACATCCCTTAGTGACCACGAAGCCAGATATCACCTGCGTCTTTCTGGAGATCCAGAAGCAGCCTCAGCGGGTTTGACTGGTGTACGTATAGCACTAAGTAGCAAGGCCGAGGCGGCACTACTGGACTGGTTCCCGATTAACAGCCGACTATGTGCAGTTCGGCTTCGGCGCTCATGTAGAATCAACAAGCGCCGCGAAGAGAGACACAATTTGTTTGTGATCTCCGTGTACGCTCCGACTGCAGTGGCAATTCGGTCAAGGACGAATTCTACGGAGATATACATCAGCTCTTGACTAATACTAAAAAGTCGGATATCCTTATCCTTGTTGGAAATTTTAATGCACAGGTTGGCTGCCTGTTACCATATGAACGCCACTTTGGTGGTCACCATGCGCTCGATGACAACCGTTCTGATAACGAAAAACGGCTTCTCGCATTGTGAAAAGATAATTATCTGTTCCTCTCGAGCACTAACTTCAAGCGTACGAAGAGGCGTTCTGCAACGTGGCGTCCCCCTTCGCCAACACATCCGTGGTCTCAAATTAATCACATTGTAATTAGCTTCAGATGGCGTGGCAGCATACTGAACTGCAGGTCCTTCTGGTCCACCTTCGTTAACTCAGATCATGCACTGGTCTGCGCCATCTGTATGTGTTTTGGGGGTCCCGAAACACGAAGCACCGCAAGATTAATGTAAACAGATTAACTGATTCCTCTGTCCAGACGAACTATCAGTCTTCACTGGCATGTGCACATAGTTGCAGTCCACCGCAAGACGTGGAGCAACAATGGGCGTGTATACGGAAACCGATGACCATTTCCGGACAGTCAAGTTGCGGTCTAACTCGACGCCCCCTAAAGGTTTGGATCTCTGCTCGTTCCCTGGAGCTGTTCGAACACCGCAAAGATATCCCCGCCGAATCGGATTGCAACGAGCTGCGCCGTTCTGCCAACCGGCTGCTCAAGCAAAGCCTACGCAAGGATCGCGAGATATTGTGGTCTGAGAGTGCTTTAGAGATGGAGACCGCTGCCCTATCTGGAAACACTCGCAGGCTTTTCCAACTCATTCGGTCCACTGACCTCAGGAAGCCTTTTGTCAGTGGGGTTATTTGTGAGGTGGATGAGTGTCTGATTACCAACCAACAGAGGCGTATGGACCGCTGCGCCGAGCACTTTCACTCTGAGTTCAACTGGCCTCCACTATCCATCAGTACGTGTAGTACACCTTGCTGTCCAGCCTAGCCCGTCCCACTGCATCCACCCAGCGAAGCGGAAGTCTGCGTCGAGATTCGACGCTTGAAGGGGCTCAAGGTTGCCGGCTCAGACGGACTTCCTCCGAAGCTGTTCAAGTATTGCGGTGTTGCGATCATTAACCAGCTGATCGCGCTATTCGCAAAAATCTGACATAAGGAGAAGATGCCTTCCTCTTGGGGCGAATCAGTTGTCCCGATTTTCAACAAAGTCGCTCGCACTTCACGTGTAAATCATTGCGGGATCAGTCTTTTTTCTGTTGCTTCCAAGCTATTTGCAGACTATCCCCAGTACGTGAATCGTACTACCGTGAAGAACAAGTCGGTTTCCTTCCTGGCCGTGGATGCGTGGATCAAATATTCACGCTCCGCCAGCTCCTCGAACATCACCACATTTAGCACAGGCCCACTATCGTTGCATTCCTAGACATACGTGCCGCTTTTGACTCCGTTGATCGACCTGCTTTATGGCGTTGCTTGCTAAAGAACGGGGTGCCAGAGAAATATACCGCCATCTTACGTGCACTTTACCTTCATACATCCGGTAGAGTGAGGGTCTATGGCAAGCTTTCCTCGCAATTCGCTGTCAATAGCGGTGTACGACAGGGCTGCCCTATGTCCCCATGCCTGTTCAACTGCGCAATCGAAGACGTTCTGTCGAAAGCTCTAGAAGATTTCCAACATTTTGGCCTAGAGCTTCTACCGGATGAACGCGCGACATAGATTATTCTGATGATATCGCCTTACTTTGTGGTTGGGTATGCAACTCATTCTGGATCGTTTGGCGGTTGAAGCATCTAAGTATGGCGTGAGCTTCGCCCCATCGAAGTGTAAAGTGCTGCTCAAGGATTGGCTTTCACCTGCTCCCGTGCTCACTCTCGAAGGTGTACAACTTGGATAGGTAGATAGTTTCATCTACCTTGTGAACCCAGCTCTTTTAGGTTGGGTGGGACCTACATACCTTTTCAATGCGGTTGCCCGTGGTCTAGCAGCTTCACAGTTGTCTCTGCCTTTTCTGAGTCAATTGAATCCATAACGGAATCAAAATCATCCTTAACCAGATCGTGTTTCTCCATAAGAATATTCGACTTCCTCCATAAGGAAATCATGTTGAATCCGAGATTGCACACGCTCACAAATACGTGCCCTTTCTTGTGACCATTTGCAAATTAGCTAATGACATAGTACACGAGTGCACGAGTACTCCAACCCGCATTCGGCATCGGGTGGAGCAGCGTGTTAGGTCCATATGCACGTTTGGCGTTGCGCCCACTCAACGCAGCACATGATTCACATGTGAACTCTAATCACTATAGAACGCGGTGCGGCCTAGTACTTGACATCCATAGATCGTTGAGGAAGTACTTTACCTCACACTCACTCACAAAACGGACACACTTATGCGACTTCAATACGCACGACACAGAACTGGATGACCGGAGATTCTCCATCCGCGTCCACAGTGCTCACTGTTGTGCGCAACTCTGCACCGGACGTGACGTGGGCTCGACAATGAAACTCAACAGCGATTGGCTACACTAAAGCCAACTGCATGCGACGTAGCAGGCATGTTCGTCAACCTCACGTGGTCTGAGCTATGCTTAGCGGTGTCTACGTGTCATCGTGTGTGGGTAATAGTACCTCTGTGCAATAATCTATGCGCACGGTGTTCCACTACGCGCTATCATGGAACACTTTGGGCTACACATCGACAGTGCTTTTGACCGGATTACCTGTTAACTGCTGTTGAATGTAGAGCATGATCGACCTTAATGAGGTGGCCATCAGCATATGTACCGCGATACATGATGTGCCACAGTGAACTTTGCGGAAGGGTACCGCGTGCCAGCTTACATTTGCTGGTCTGTGTGCAATTGTTAGTATATTGCAGCCGTTGACAGGGTGAACCAATGCATTTGTAAAAAACCGTTATGATTTTGTTTGAAACGAAAGATAAAACGATGGTTTATGTCCAATTTAGCGCGCTTACCACCAGTGTGCCAAAAAGCGACGTACTGAAGATGGTCAAACGCTGTTTGGCTGTAGAGACTAACTTGGGGAATGGTCTTAGCTTAAGATTGCTGTGTTAACCGAGAGAAAGGCATTGCGCCATATCATGTATTAGCTCGAGTTTCAATCGGAACTAATCACTCAGTAACAGTGTGTTACTATGACATCGTCAATGTCCACTCCACTTCATTAACAACGGGCTCGATCAAGCCAGGGGCCGTAACCCCGTGTTCCGGACATGTTTATTGCCACGTCCGCCTTCGTCCGGAACTGTGCTGACTTCCTTTTGCCTTCACATCTCAGGCTTTGGGACTTGGATCCAGTTCGTGAGCAAGCACTTGCCTCCACCCCGTTATTACCCGATGCTGATGCACACTTAGACGAGCGGATGGTGGAGGTCCATGCAGCAGGACGTCAACCGCGGCTGATTTCAGTTTGACCACGCGTGTGTCTACTACGTTGCGTGGATCTAGCTTAAGCGATGCCCATGTTTGCTACCCCCCTCCCTTAATGCGCGATGGGTATATGCTCCAGCTGCTATTTTAAACAGCCATGCTTGCATATCGCCCGAATGCCATTGGCTGATTAGCGGTGGACCACTCAGGGTGCAGTGGATGCTAATTTCCTGACTAACGGATTGTAGTGTTTCCGATGAGGGTGCAACCTGCTGCACCACGGATAGAGCCGAATGCGTCAAGGATGCAATCAATTGGGAAATGTTATAGTCGCCTTACTCCTCATTTGCCAAGTTTATGCTTAGTATGTAATGTGTCCAATGCGGTTTGCACAATGTCCAATTCGTTTTGCAAAATGTCCGATGTGATTTGTGAAACGTCCAAAGTAGTTTGCGAAACGTCCAATGTGATTTTTAAAGTGGCCAGTTAGTTTAGAAAACATTCTGCTCTGAAAGACGTCCAGTTTGGTTTGCACAACGTCTAATGTGTTTCGAATTCTTGGAAGATACTTGGAATCGATCGAGTAGTCATGAGTTCAGAGAGGTTTGGAAACAATCGATTGGTATAATAGTTTGGTAACGTTTCGTCCTTGACACGAGAACTTCGTCAGACCAGGTGAATCAGTGTGCAATTGGTGTGGGATTTTATAGCGAACAGGGGCGATAACCGCGTTCCCCGAGACTTGAGTCATGGCGTCATTACAGTAACAGTTGGTGATGTCATCTCAGGTGGTACTATCACAGTGGGAATAGTCCAGGTGTTCCTTTGTGCGTCATGACAAGGACGGATAAGCCCATAGTGTTGACAATGGGAGTCAGTTTTCACTTTCCAATCTGATCCGCGCACCGATGCTCGTCAAGCTGACTGGCTTAAGACCGCCCGCCACGCATTAGGGAGTTCTACCCCCTCTATTCTATTCACGCAGTCGTCAGATTTGGCAATTTCCACCGCCTCGGCAATAAACCGCTGAGGGGTTGATCGGATACCCCTCCTAATGACCTCTACGTTTTCGAGGTCTATCTGGTGACCCGTGTCTAATGCATGCACAGCTACGGCCGAGTCTCTTATTATTGCCTGATATTCAAACTCGTTTCTTGATAGTCTTGCAATGCGCCTCCTATGCTCCGAAATTCGTGTGCGTAATTCTCTCGCTGTTTGGCCTATGTACACATGTGCACAGTCCTTACATTTAATTTTATAAACACAGTTAGTCGTCCTTCCTTGGGAAGGGAGTCCTTCAGGTGTACCAGCGCCGAACTTAACGTTCGACCTCGCTGAAACATCACCCTTATATTTTCCTTGTTTAATACCCTCCGAATTGTCTCCGAAGTGCCTTCCTTGTACGGAATTCCGACCGTCCCTATCCACTCGGCTGGGGGTCTTGACTGCCGGTGTAGCACTTTATGCAATTGGCATTTGACAAGCCGTCTTGGGTAACCACTTCTAATAGTTTGCTCATTGCCACTTTCCGCGCAGCCTTTTTGTCCTCCTCCATCCTGCACAAGGTTTGTGCCCTGTAGAACAGCGTTGAGGCTATCCCAGCGTAAACCTGTTTCGGATGACCCGAAGTGTAGTGGAGTACGCCGCCCGTATCCGTTGGCTTACGATATATTTTCGTCTTTAAATTTCCCCCATTCCTGTGAACCAGACAGTCAAGAAATGGTATTGTGCCGCTACAAGATTCCAACTCAATAGTAAACTGTATTCTCTCATCAATGGAGTCTAAGTGATCAAGCAACTCGTCCTTCTTATCCCGTTTAACAAGTACAAAAGTGTCGTCTACATAACGCCACCAAACTTTTGGTGAGTTAATAGTGTTTGTTAACGCCCGGTTCCCGAAGTTTTCCATATACAGGTTCGCCAGTACAGATATTGGCGATCCCATAGCGAGACCTTGTTCCTGACTGTAAAGCTTCGATTGAAAAACGAAGTAAGACATGTTAAGATACACTGTCATCCCCTCGATTATCTGGCTAACTGTCAGTTTCGTCCGATCATTCAGAGTGACGTCTTCATTTAGACGACGTCTCGCTATTCCTAGCGCCTCTTCATTGCGTACATTTGTGAAAAGTGATGTGACATCGAAGCTGACCATCAACTCATCGGACTCAATTTTGAGACTTGCTATCTTTTGAGCGGTCATAAGCTTTTCACTAATGTACTGGTTCCCCCTGTTTGGGGTTGCAATAGCTTTGCCAAATATCTCGCAAGTTCATGGGTCGGGGAGCCTATACCGTCGACTATGGGCCGTACGGGGACTTCGGGTTTGTGAACATATGGCAAGCCACAAACCCTCGGAGGTAAAGTCGATTTTGGGTATAGACTGTACCACTTGCCTGCCCCTAAATCGTACTTCACGGTTCTTAAATAGTTACCAACCTCCATTTTACTCTTGTTCATTACTGACGCCACGGTCTTATCAACTACTACTCTATATGAACCCGTCTCCAAATCTTGTCCCATTTTTTCTAAGTATTCTGACTTATTCATTACAACCAGGGTTTTTCCCTTGGCAGCCTTTGTAAGTACAATGCTGCGGTCTTCCTTCAAGGAATTTAATGCGTTACGTTCCGTTTGCGGAAGATTTGGCTCACCCGGTTGCTGAAACTTAATGATATTTACTAACTGTGCCCGAATATTCTCTGCCTTCGTAGCGGGCAACTTGGTCACCGTGCTCTCAATGCTTGGGATAATCTCTTCTGCATATATCTTAGATTTATTGATGGTAAATGTCAAATCTTTCTCCAACAATCTACATTCCGTTTCATTCAAACGGATTGTTTCCAAACCTCTCTGAACTCAGAACGTCTAATGTGGTTTGAAAAACGTCCAATTTAATGTGAATACGGTATATGAAATATGTGCATATTTTCAATCATGTTACCAATCATTTAGTTCTACTAAGCTGCATGTCACGGTATACTCAGTTGCTGGCATGCCTAAACTGTGAGCCATGGTTGTATCATCTCATGTGTAGGTCAATTTGCTTAACACACAAATATGGTAAGAAGTTGGTAGTTTTCAATAACAAATTACTTAAAGTGCACTACTCACCTTTTAGCATTTGCCACCTTATCCACTATTTGTGGTAATATCAGAGAAATGAACTTGGGCTGGGTAAAATGATTTTAAAATATTGAAGACATGTGTGTACTTTAAAACTGCGACCAAAAGAAATACATAATTCAATTTTATCAAGTGTATTTAAAAAGTGCTGTCTGAAAATGACTTAATTCATTCTAGTCGGACTTTTCATTACCATCTCATGGTTCTCATCCGTGCTTTTTTCACTTAACTCCATAATTTTTATTATCCTTACGCTATGGCCAGTAGTTAACTATTTCCCAATGTCCCTTTTTACTTCTTTTGTTCATAGAAACTTTCAAGTCACAAAAGGGTGTTGAGGAAGCCGTACAGCATATTATTTCTGACATATTCGCCAAAGATCTCGAGCTTATACGCAAGGCCGAACAATTGTAAGTGCATAGTGTCATATTTTTTTCTTTTCAGAGATTGCGAACACACTTCTTTTGTTACCCACCATAGCAACGCCTAGCGACACACGTTTGTAACTTCTCCCCAACTTCACTGTACTAGCTTGCTAACTTCACTCGGTTGTCACCGTTACCAGTGCCCCACATTTCCAGCTATGCTACTGGGCTACACACAGCGACCATGCTTATGCTCAGTTGTGTTTCTTGAGCCACGGAAGGGTTATGACTCTAAGTAGACTGTCACTAGATATGACCTCCACGACCACTCATCGTTATAGTTACAGCACTTTTCAAGGTCCTACCATATTCTTTCTGATAAAGTCTTACAAATCACATCCTTTGTCACTGCGCGTGCCATGTAAAAGCTTCAAATAGAGCAATGTTTTATGCATATAATCACCCATCTTTTCAAACTTACGCTTTCCGTCTTTTCCTATTCGCTATCAAGCTCACCTGTTTAAATAAGTCATTTCTTTCTTATTCACTGGCGTGCAAACTTATGATTTTCCAGTGAGTAGTGGGGATTTTGGTATAATGCAGAGGTCTACTGTCAGTCAGCAGGCTTTGGCACGTCTGGAAAAACACCAGACGGCGCTGTTTCGACCTTCTGGATCTTGTTTGATGTGCGCCTTCCTTGGACCCCTGCCGGGTTCCGACCCCATGACTTCCGGATGCCAACACCTTGTGCCACTAAGCCATGGGTGACGACCGCGGACCTGTATGGTTGACAGTTGACTATGATATAGCCTGGCTCATCTTCCACTGCCATGTCAGTTACGAACTGTGTAGTGGACAGCATTTAACCCTACGAGCTAGGACTTCCCGCATAGCGACTGTGTACGACACAACACTTAGAAGCTATGCGGACGCATTTTCCATTTTAATGCGTAGTAGGGATTTCTGTAAATTCAGAGGTAATTCATCACAGTCCACTCCCAGGCTTTGACTCATCTGGAAAAGCACCAGAGAGCGCTGCTTCCACCTTCGGGGTCTCGTCATTGGTGCGCCTTCCTGGCTTTCTTTTCACCTGACTTTCTATTCTCGCCTACACATGTAAGCCGCATTTCTCTCTGAACTCCGTCTTACAGATGCACCATTCACTCACCCGTCGTTCACACCACCCAAAGATCAGCGCGGTCATCATCTGTGAAGCCAGAGCCCCGAAGTGCTTCTGTTGAGACTCACATGGAGGTGGACAGTGTGGATCTTTTCAGTGATCTGAGTCAAATTGGTTCTTCGGGAGATGTACCAAGGAACTTCGCGAAAGACGACCTGATCACTTTTAAAAACTACCTAAAATTTTCTCGTCCCGTTTCGAAATTGCATGCTCATCAGGTTGGTCCAGTTTTTCATGATTCTATTTGGATTCATGCTCTACTCTTATCCGCCGCATTTGAAGGATGAGACTAATCCGTTGATTTAAGCATCTGCTTTCTGAACTCCACACCACGGCTCTCTGTGCTGTCTGGCCTCTCAACAATTTCCCTTGGTTTTGCCACGACAACTGGGTTGCGTCACAGTTGCCCCATCTGTTTTCCTTCCTCACTTTTTACTCCAAACGGGTGTGGATGACTGCATCCTTTGTACATTTTTCGAACTGCGGACTGTAACAGGTAACGCATTTGCAAGTTCGCAACGTCGCTGTGAACGCGTAGACACTAACCAACTGGCGAAACCAGGTGTTCTGAATGTGTATCAAAGTACGCTGGTATCCGGGCTGAGTAAGCGCCCACTGAACAACATCGAGGATCATTGGTTGCATATTCGTCAGACGTTGCTATCAGCACGCATATCTTCGTGCGGCAAATCAAATTGCCAATGTAGGCATTAGATCTCCACACAGTCTCTGGAACTTAGGGATGCTCCCCGACTTATTCTGGCTGGAAGCGAATACAATGAAATTCGCAAAACCTCAGGGCAAAACTGCGTGCGAGCCTGAAGAGCGACCGCGAAGCCTGATGTTCTCACCGTGCTTTGGAAGTGGAAACAGCTGCTGCCGTTAGTAATCATTTTAAGTTATTTCGTCTACTACGGGAAACGGGCATCAGGAAACCTGGTGTCAGCGAGACCATACGCGACTACAGTGGGCAGCCAACCCGCAACTTGTCAAAACACTTGGAGCGTTGGACCGAACACTTTGCAAGCCGTTTAAGCAACCTAAGACATCACTTTCTTCTTGGGTCATTGAGTGCCATTCTACCTGGGTCGTCTCCTTGGATCCGTCTTCACACGCAGAAGTCGAGCGGTATATCAGTGTTGACATAAAATAGGGCCACAGGAGAAGATATAATTCACCCAGTCTTCTTTAACTTCGGAGGTTCTGCACTTGTAGATGATTTACACGAGTTACTAGTGAAATTGTGGGACAATAAGACTGTCCCAACACACTAGAGTCGCTTCGTCATAGTCCCAGTTTTCAAAGGCGGCTCCTGTTTGGAATGCGGTAATCATAGACGGATCAGTCTGATCTCAATTGCCTCTAAATTGCTTGCGTCTGTCGTTCTCCACAAACTGACTGGCACTCGTGAAAGTCATATTTGTGAGGCGCAAACCGGATTTCGTGGAAAACGAGGCCGCATCGACTACTTCTTTACTTTACCACTATTGTTGGAGCACGGCCATGTTTATTGGCGACTCACCGTTGTCGTGTTTCTCGACATCAAAGATGCCTTCGATTCGGTGGATCGATGTGCCTTTTGGGACTGCCTGTTGGGGAAAGGTGTGCCCAATAAATACGTAAACTTTCAGAACGCCATACGCGCATACGTCGAGTCGAGTGAGGGTTTATAGCAAAATGTCGCCGCCCTTCAGTACCTCCAGCATTTTGAGACAAGTTTGTCCGCTGTCACCTTTCCTCTTTAAATTCGCCATTGAGCAAGTCATAGAAGAAGCATTCGTTGGACACGACCTAGAAAGGGTGGAGCTCCTTCCTGGTGAGCGACTTATTGACTTGTAGTGCGCGGACGACATTGCTCTTATCAGTGACAACTTACAAACTTGCCAAGCAGCACTGGACAAATTAGCACTGGCTGTCAATTGTTTTAGATTATGTTTCGCACCCTCGAAATGCGAAGTCCTCTTCCAGGATTGGCAGGGACTGCCTCCTGTGCTGACCTTTGGTGGTGAATCGTTTAGGGATTCAAATACCTGGCCAGCAATATTAGCGTCCGTGGGTTTGATTATGAGTTTGACATAACGTATAGCAAAAGCTCGATGCGGTTTTGCTAACCTTCGCCATCTGTGCTGCCGGCGTGACATCAGTCTCGCTCTGAAAGCAGAGCTTACCATGCATCCGTCCTTCCAACCCTTTTGTACGATTATTAAACCTGGCCCATCAGGTCGACAGTCACAAAGAGGCTATTCACCTTCGATCATCGCTGCCTTCGCAGCTTAGCTCATGTCCGGTGGGAGCACCGCGTTAGCAATGAGCGCGTTCGGCGTCGCGTATTTGATTCAGGAAAAGTGAATGAACCGCTCAACACCATTCTGTCACGTACCAGGCTCCGATGGCTGGGCCACGTGTTGCGCATGTTAGCACACCGACTCCCGCGAAGTGCATTGTTCGTGCGCCGAGGCACAGTAGCTGAGGTGTTTCCCACTAGCTAACGTGTATAATAATAATGATGATGATGATGATGCGCCGGGGGTGCGGTTGGAAGAAGAGGAGGGGAGGCAAAGCGATGACTTGCTCGAGTGGATTGAAAACCCTCACTTCGAAACTGGCATCGGTTGGTGCATCCCGACTGCCTGGCTGTGGTCCTAAGGACAATGAACACATTTGCTTGGACACACTTGTTGCTATAGCGAAGAGCCGATCTCAGTGGCATTTCTGTTGTGAGTTCCTTTGTTCATCTCCTCCTCCAATCACGATATGATATGATATTTAACATTATGTTACTAACTTTTTAATTATTTTTTGTATTGTTCCTTTTGTATCGCGACACATTAGCTGAGGTGCGTTTCTCACCCTCAGCTAACCTGTATTGATGATCATGATTTCTGGTACACGAACGATATATTCCTCTTAGGGTTGAGTCCAACCAGTGTACAAGCGCTTTGGAATGGATCTGAAGCAGAAGGCTTTGCATATTCAATGCACGAGGTGTTGCATCACGAGCTGGCATACCAATTGATCTCGTCGTCATCAGTCTACTTACCTCTATGGGTTTATAACATCCAGTTGTCCGGTCATCTAGGAATGCCTTGATACAATCCGAACCGAACCAGCGTGTCCGGTGACAAAGAAAAACCTGTCATTACCACGCACCTAAGACAGCCTGCATTTTCTTGTGTATCATTTGGTGTATCAATCTCAAAGCAACATGAAGTGTATGCTCAGGACATGATCTAGCCCGGCCATGTCATACTGAGAACTGAGGGTGAATTTGTATTGGCATGATGGCTGCACGCAACAGGAAATTGATCAAAGTGAGCTTCTCACGTTCTAATCTTGATTGCAGGTCATGGGAATCGAAGGTGGTTGATCGGCGTGCATGGCTATTGCCAAAGAGCAGGAGAAAACCCTCGTGCATGTAGAGAAGAAGCGGCAAGTGCGGAATCGACAGACACCGATGGGTTGTACTCCATCGACATCAAGCGCATGGTGCTGTAGCACATGCAGTCGCGAGTGCCTGAGTCAGGCAGGCCTAGTGAGCCATGAGCGAGGCCACTCAGGGCCAACACGGAAACGACGACGGGTCCTGCAGAGAACGTAGGCAAAACAGGCGCAGCGTTGGTAGGAACGCTGCATTCGATTTACTAACCGCTTGCTTATATGCTAAGTCTTTTTAATTCAGGTGGTGGGTTTGCTATATTGCCCTAATGCCTTTTTATCTCATATTAATGTCTATCTGAACTATCTACTATAAACTTGCACACCTCCCTTAAACTACTTTAGTTAGGTTCGATAACATGTTCACGTTCGTGGCATTTTCTTAACATATATTTTCTGACGTCTTGAACTTATTGCGTATTCGTTCGTGGCCAATTTATTTTACATGCTCATTAATTGAAGAGCTATGTTACCGTATCTATATGCATAATTCACTTTATTTTATTTGATATCGTCGTTTCAAGTGATTGGCTGTTGTTTGACATCCCCGTTGTGGCTGCGCTTGATGTGCATGTTGACAAGGTGCCTACCTGTCTATTACCCACTACCTCGTCCATACTGTCTCCATGAGGCAGTTGGTCGTTGCTGCGGAGGGACGGGGTGCACGAACCATGCGACGGTGCTTGGTTCGAAGAGTGGTTCCATGCACTGTGAGGAGCGGACTACGGTCCAGCCAGCGCCTTGTGTGCGCTTGATTTCCCAAATACAGCGTGCTTGTGTTTGACTGTGAAGGAGTGTGGGCCGGATCCGCTGATGAAACGTGGCTCCCATGCGCATGCCTCCGGTCTTATTCCTTCGGGTTTACACTGGATATGGGGTGTGTGTTTAGAGCTGTGGGTGGTGCAGCGCAAGCCACTCATGGTCCCTCTGTAGGCGCAGGCGTCCTGTGTCTGGCCACAGTGACAGGCAAATCCGAAACCGGATGACGCCATCCATGTAATGTGTCCAATGCGGTTTGCACAATGTCCAATTTGATTTGCAAAACCTCTTATGTGTTTGTGAAACGTCCAAGGTAGTTTGCGCAACGTCTAATGTGTATTCAACTGACTCTTTCCCCAAGTCACTAGGGTCTGCCACATGCGCAGGAAATGCTGCACACTTCTCCGACACCAATACGCCAATCGTCGCATTCTTCTCATCAAACCAATCAGGCCGCTTAGAGTTTGCACACCCGATGGTCTCCTCAGCAGCAGCTGTCACCTGGTCGCGAATGTGGTGCCGCAGTTCGCCCACTGTAGCTATGCAGTCCACGTCATACAGGCATGCAGCCATCGCCTTCTCCAGCTCAAAACGCTTCGCCACAGTTCCGAGGGAGAGAATGTTAATTTTCCGCCGATTCACGGCGGGAGTGTAATACGTAGATTTACGAAAATATATGTACAGTTCGGTCCGCACCAATTTGTGATCAGTGCCACACTCAGCTCCACGCAGTACACGTGTCATGCGCACTTCACGCAAATCACGCTGATGTATGATGACATGGTCGAGCAGGTGAGCTTGACCACTCTGTGGGTGCGTCCAGGTTGCTATATCACTCGCACTCATTGCAAATTGCGTGTACGTGCTCGTCAGGCCGTGAGTGGCACACAGTGAGAGCAGCCTGTCACCGTTCGCATTCGCTGAACGAATGCCATGCGGACCGAGAACATCTGTCCACACCGATGCATCACGCTCAACGCGCGCGTTGAAATCACCCAGCAGCAATAGTCGGTCGCTCCTCGGCACAGATCGTATAACGGAGGATAGCTGAGTGTAGAATTGATCACGCGTATCATCAAGATAATACGTTTTCTGACCGTGGCAAACTTACCTCTTCCGAGTCGTAGGCGAACAGTCATCAGTCGCGCGCTGATGCCTGTTGGTTCACCCACCATCTGGCCATGGAGGCGATCGAATATTGCAAATCCGACCCCATGTTTACGTGGTGCTGAGGTGGCGTTTCCTACGCAGTAGAACGTGTAGCCAGCACCAGCTTGCTCAGCGAGCCGAGTTTCACTGAGCGCCGCAATATTGATGTTGTAGCCTGCCAGTTACGTTGCGACCAGTGGTTTTCGGCGCGCTCACTCGAGTTCCGATCCAGTAGTGTGCGCACGTTGCAGCACCCGACGTTGAGTGCTTTGTGCGCTGGCATACGATTGCGTTAGTGGGCAATCTCAAGCGAGGTGGCGGTTGTGCGTCGGAGGTTTGTTTGAGGGACTCCGCCCGGAGCGTTTGGCTTAATAGCCTGACGCACAAGATAGCAGATCCAGCTCGGGAATGAGATTACAGAGACTGATTGTGGTCTGCTTGAGACCCGTCACACGCAGCCTTTGGAGATCTGGAACAATGTATGTATGTTTTGCGACCATAGTAGGATACCCGCCAGCGACCACAGCCAGACGCAGGTGGGTTTTGGCGGGGTTGCACCAATTTGACCAGGGGCTGCCTGGCTTGAGGCGGGCAGTAGCAAACCATTGAACACCCGGAGGTGTCCTCCTACCGTCAGAGACAATGCGTGGCGCTCGTGCTCTACGCCAATCGAGCTGTGAGCTTATAACCCGTAGACCTGTTGTCTCCCATAGGTAGGTTTTACGGGAAGTGGGCCATCGACCACTTCCTAACCTCCGAAGAGGATGGACTAGGATACTGGCAGGGTGCCTACACCTGACAGGAGAACGATTCGAGTCTTCAGTCAAAGCTTTCGATTAAATGTACACCAGAAAGGCAGCGGGGCTAACACATGGTAAGTTTTCTGACTCATGTGGATTATTGTTCTGGCTCCTAACTAGGAGAAAGGCGTAGCCCAACTCCCACTTAGCAGTCACTACGAGGAGGCGTCCAGGACACGAGGCCTGTCAAATATGAACAATTTGAGGGCTTTATTTTTTGGATCCACTCAAGCCCGCGACAAGACGCGCTAGCTGCTCCAGTGAAGCTCACTACCTGCGTTTACTAGAACTTCTTGATAGTTTCTTGAAATAGGAAGATCTCATTCTATTCATGTAACCGTACAAGTCTAGTCAATCTTTCACTCTTCTAAAATGTATGCTTGCACTCGCAAGGCTACTATGGTGGTATTTGATGTATGTTCGGACAATCTAAGCGTCAGCCTAACTGCGTATGCTAACTTTGTTGCCAGAGGTACTGATCGCGTGTCTGATTTAAAACTCTCTTCGACTCGTTAACAAAAAACGTTTGGCTTGTCACTTCCACCATTTTGATTTCACCCACCAAGTTCCCTGTACTGTGCTTCGAGACCTATATGTGCTCGCCCACTTGTTATTTTATCGATGTTTACACTAACCTGCTATGCAGTTTCTCTAATCGCACTCGCCACCTGTGTTGTTTTCACCTAGATTCTAGCCATTAACCGTGCTGTTGAGAGAGGCGTCATTTCGATCAAATTGGTTTTCCCAGTAGCCATCGAATTGCAACTTCGTCGTTTTGTGGAAGAGAAGTACCTACCAAATGTACATCCTTCACACTTGGCGTACGTTCATGGCGCATTCAATAGCGCATGGAAACGTCTCATTGAGCCTCACGTTGCACGCATTGTAAAGTGAGTCGACATGCTTTCAATGACCTGCTAAATTCATCAGTCTCTACTGTCACATGATTTACCCCCAGGTATCTGTCTAGAGGCGCTTTTTTCACAGCCCTAACTATTCCATTTAAAGTAACCGGTTATTCACACCTCTTGACTTCATAAACCAAAGCCTCTGCCTCTGTCGTATGTTTCGCACCGACTAATAGGTTGGTGTCCTCTTCATGACTTCATGAGTGGCATGGAGATACTATGAACATGACGTTTATTTCCTCTTGTGTCGTGCTTGAAATTTGCGGCAGCATATTACTATAATGAAATAATGCTATTTCACATTGAGCATTTGTGACTACGCAGCCTCACGCATCCTGTGCTGTATTGGTTCAAACAACCTGGCTTGCAGTGTCTGCGTTCCGGGTTCTGGTTATTGTTTATGCCCAATTTTAGGGTGGCACTCACCTTGTGTTCAAGCGCCTGCGGCGGGTATAGTAGCGAACCTTCAGTATCACATGTTATCGTGTCTTTGCTTCTCCTTTTTGTTTCACTTGACCCAATCCCACAACTATTTCCTTGCTATTCCACGGGATAGTCACTGACAACTGTTACTCTCTATGGATGCCTTTCTTCCTGGAAAGGAATTATTGCCCGCCACCTGGAGTCTTGGGTGCACATCAGTGCATGAAAACAGCAGCGGAAAGTCTTATATTTTCATTCATGAGCCACGACTTAAACCTTGAACTCCGAAGGAATTAGGTGCGATGTTCTCTTCCTCTGCGATCGCACGATTGACTGGGCAGTTCAGACTTATTGCTTGTAATCCACGGTTTGACCTTTCGAATTTGCGTAGGTGTGAGTTACCTCATCCTATCACCAGTCTCCCGCACCCTCCTTGTGGCACTCAAGTTGCAACGAAGCGCTTGCACGACGCACTGGCGTTTTACTGATTCATCCCCTGCCTAAATATAAGACAACAGTATAAAGATACGGGTTAGCCTTCAAACATATGTCCATTTATTCATCATTTAAGTCGCAATCTCCTGGCGTATTGTCAGATTGTCTGCTGCCTACTTACCATGGCGCCTTTCAACCTTGACTGTGTACTTTCCACTTGGCCTGTTGGATATCGGCACACGCCGCTGTGAAACCACTATGTGTTTCGCACTAAGCGTCGCAAGTCATATTCTCTCCATTACTATCCAGTTTTTTACCAACAATAATCTCCAAGTGTTCGTCCCCGTTATGCGTTGAGCCTTTTTCATAGACCACCTTCCTTAATCTTTTGACCCAGTGAGCATGCATGGATAGACAGTGTTACTGCGATATCCCACAGGATGCATCACGCCAGCCCCACTCAACCTTGTAAAATTCGAAGCTATGTATGCGGTACCTTACATCCGTACCGTATAACACACCTATAACTGCATTTAAGTACATGTTTTTTAGCTTTGCCGGTGGCGGAGTGGTCTGCACGTTTGCTTTGCAACCATAAGGTCACCGGTTCGAATCCGCGTGGAGGTGGGCGTCCTCGCGGTATACTCAGCCCGCGCGCGACTGGTGGTTGCGCCACAGCGAAGCGCCGTTACGGCGTACAGCTGACACATTATTATTTATTATTTTTATTTTGGAAAGGAGTTACCCGGGTTTAGATGAGTGGCAGCGAACCAGCAAAGGGTTGTGCCTTCCCGTTTTCATAAATGATCCGCGTAGCTTGTGCACTATGCCAATTGAGCTAAGGTTTTAAATAGTAAATCATCCCTACTTTGATGAATGAGGTTACTCAACCTTCCCCTCCAAATTCGGATGGAAAGGGGACTGATGCTGTGAGCTCCTCTGCCTCCTTGATATGTACCAAGGATGTACCCCACAGCAATATCTAATGGATCCTGAAGAAAATTGAATCCTCGCACCGTATCTGTGATCATCTTAATCGGTATTGGCTGCCCTATTCTCGGTCTTGGCGTTAGTGTTGGGTTTATTACTTCATTTTGCCTGACAGGGATTTGCCCTGCTTGCCTTTGTTTTCAATGCATTGTTTTATTTTTCTGATAAAATCCTACACCATCCGTTTTTGTCCTATTCTTCTATTCACGCCTGCTGACTAAAATCTAGGACAGTTTGTTCGAAAATGTATCGCTGTTCTCTCGCAAACACGTCTGTTCACATGATCCGTCTCCTGTTTGGGGTCCAACCAACTGTATGTGGTGGCATGTTCATTGGAGTGGATTTTTCTACTGCGGCCGATGATACTCGAGCTCCTAGTCCACTCCAGTTAAGTTTCAGTCCCTGTGCATGAGAAATCACCACTTAAGCTGTCATAGCGCTTCTTCGAGTGATTGCCATGAGCACTGCACCAACACTGACGCATCCCTACCTACGTCTTGGCTTTCTGAATGTAGATATGAAATTAGACATTTGACCCAGCCAGTTTCTTACTTTTGGGACCATCTTCTGGAAGGTCTCACTTGTAGCTTCACTGGTCCACGTTGTGTACGCTTCCAGCTTCTAGAACATCAAGCTTTGCGCTGACGTCGCACTGGTTTATGACAAGTCTGTTTCTAACAAGCGACGTTCCTCTAAGAGGTGGACTGGTCACCGGGAAAACACCATTGGATATTATCTGTCGCTAGTTACTAATTTGAAACGTATCTGATTTTTTGCGAGTACATCTTTAAGTGCGAGCATGTTTAATTACTTGTGTGGTTTTAATCTAAATTTTATTTAAATTTTATTTTTATTTATTTTTTATTTATTTATTTATTTTTATTTTAAATTGGTCAAACCACATTGGTTCTACAAGGAGTATGGTAAGGTGACTAGGCGGCGGCGCAGACTGTGGGAGAAATTCATTCACTAACTCGATCGGTGACTACGAGGTGCATAAAAGGCAGCGAACTACTTTTAAAAATGAGAAAATGAGCAAGCGTCGGCATTTCGAAGAGCAGCTTGCAACCGCCGATGAGCATCATTGCATACGTGATGCGGCGTCTGCAACCTGCAGGTGATCTGCAAGTGATAGAGGACGCGGACGAACAGCCCTTGATCTTCGGCACTGAGCTTGCCTCCGCATTGGCAGTGCACTTTACATCCTTGTTTGCAAATGACCAGGTATCCGTACTGAGCTCGACGTACCTCGCCCTTACTGAACTCCACGGTAGGTTGTGGTGCGGAAGAGGTACGTCGACTATTCGCCAACCTTGACGGCACCAAGCCTGACGGACTCCATCCCATGATTCTCGAGTCCTTATCGGTCATCATCTCGCTTGCTGTGACCGACCTGTTCCACAAGTCGCTATCCGAAGTTTCGTTGCCCATTGATGAGAAATATACGGTGATGAAGCCGATTCCGAAAGATGAAAACCCCAGCAATGTAGACAAGTACAGGTCAATTTGTTTGACACTCTTTTTGACCACTGTTGCCGAGACGTTTGTAAAGAAGAGTTTGCTACAGCTATTCCGGTCGAAAAATCTCTTGCTGCTCGTACGACTTGATGCCAGGTCGTTTATGCATCATCAACCTGCTCGTGACGAGGCATGAGTGGTTGCAAGCAGTGAATCTAGGGAAGTCTATCGATGTGATCTACATTGATTTCCACAAAACTTTGGACAATGTAAACTATGAGGTCCTCCTTCACAAGCTGAGAGCATGCGGTGTTGGCGGCTCACTGCATCAGAGGATCTGCGAGTTCCTTGTTGGACGAAAGTGCAGGGTGCAAGTCGATAGCCACCTGATCGACTGGTTTCCTTTGACCAATGGCGTACTCCAAGGCACGGTGCCGGGGCCTACATTGTTCCTGCTTGTTATCGACGATCTACCTCAGCTTCTTCGGTCACCGTATGCCCTGATGTGGATGACCTGAAGATGTGAGGAGTGATGAGCACTTCCGAGAATTGCGGTCTACTTCAATAAGACCTCTGGTCTGCAGAAGTCCGCATTCCGGTCAACCCATCCAAGTCTGTATTCATGAGCCTGGGGAAGGGTGGTGACGGTCGAACCTACACCCTTGATGGTCAAATGCTTTATCTCACACTCTTCGTGAAGGAGCTGGACGTGCTCTCACGTTGCGATTTGAAGTCCGTGGACTACACGAACAGGCTACATCGAAACGGACTGCGCATGCTATGTACGCTTAGATGCAACTTCTGCATCTGCTCTGAAGATATCACCATTCGCTTCTTCTCCTCCATCATCAGACCAATGCAAGAAAACGGCTCGCGCGCCTATTACTAGACCACTTGAGGTGAGGCGCAGAAAATAGAATGGGTCCTAGACTTCGCTACCACGCCCATCCCAGTTTACGTCGCTTGCCGTATGGAGACAGATGCGAGAGGCTGAGACTGTACACCGTGGCGTATCGTCGGATGCTAGTCGACCTCATCATGATCTGCTACTCTCTGCATCTAGATGACTTCGCCATGCTGAGACAACTGCTCCACTTGGGAATACCTTGCAGCACATGCGGACACCAGTACATACTTGTGGCTCCAGCTTTAAAGCGAGTTCCCCATTCGCTGTGCTTTGCACTGCGAGTTGTCAATATTTGTGCAGTTCGACGGAGCATACATTGGAAGCAAACTCCGTGCAGCAGTTCAAAACATTGTTGGATGTACGTTTGTCCCATGTTAGATTCCGGGAACAGTTACCTACTGACAATGATATCTTACACTTGTGAGTCCTACCGCTGTCTTTTTACGATAACACGCGAGAGCTTGAAAAACGATCAGTGTGTTGACAGATCATAACTAGTCTTTATAACGTTTTTGATCATATTGCGATGGAGTTGTACAGATTCAAATTTATACTTGCTCCCACACTGCAGTATTCAGTATGAGTATTTGTGTCCCGTTTCTTACAATGGTTTTTATATTGTTTTATAGAATTTTCACCTTTAAAATGGTTCCGTGTGCGTGAAAATAAGGGAACACAATTTAGTGCGTAGCGGCAAATAAGTGTTCCGTTGCGGTAGGTGTGAAATGGTAAAAGCGGACGTTTCTGATGAATGAACCGCTGCCATATCTATATATGTGTACATATGCATGCATAGCACTTCATAGTAATGTGTAGTGCGCTCCTGCCGCGCACAGTGGAATTACAGCCGAAAATATAAAAGTATCCCTTACAACACACGAAAATTCCGAAATAGTTTATTAAGACAGTAATATAGTAATCTCGCTAATTCGAAGAAAACTTCGTTTAATTTACCGCAGTTCATCATCTAAATATCAGTTAAATGTTTTTACACCAGGCTTTTTTATAAAAAGCCCTTTCTCATGTCCATTTAGAATGCACACTGATCGATCACTACCTACCAAATTCTGTCCAAACTTTCAGCTCTCAGCAGACTATGAACGCCCTCCTGTAATCCTGCCGGAACAACTTGACATAGCTTTCCAATCTGTTCACTACCGCGCCTTCCAAAAAAGAATATCAGAAGACGAAGGTTGTTTGGCTGATACTGTCAATTTGTGCATTCTCGTCGACCATGTACATTAAGGAAACGAGGGATTCAAGATAACGTCACATGAAATCGATTGGCTGTCAACTGTTTTCCTATTAGTACGTTGCACGCTACCAAAGTATGCCTAGCGTCACTGTCAGTTACTTCTAAATATAGGTTGGTGAGCGCAATTGATTGAAAGGATTTTCTCAGGGAGCCAGATGGTGCGGCGGTGTTTACCTAGTGACCGGTGCTCATCGAATACCTCGTAATTTCAGAGGCAACTGTGCAACCGTCGCGTATTTCATCCGTTTGCGGAGCCAATTTAGAATGTGTTCATTGATTCGAACACCTAGATTTTGAGCAGTGCGCCCAGCATAGGGGGCACAAATGCGTGCAATGTTAGCGTTGTCCGTCATTGATTATAATATATCTTGAATTCGTTAACTTCATCATAACCCTGGCTATTGTCACGCTGAGTCACCTGCCCAGATTTCACCTACCTGCACATGGTTTATATGTTTCGAGAATGCGATTTTGCTTTGTATACCATGTTGCTGTAATTTCTTGACTTTTGTTCTCTCTGTGACGTGATGTCTGTATGGGTGACTCAGTTCACCTTTTTACTTTTGCTTTTCCACTCCTTTCTTACTGGAGCATATCCGCAGATGCGGAGTCTTCTACTCCTACGGATCCCAGAGAATACATGTCCATCAGTGTTTAGTTTTGTCAGTGCGGTTTCCATCTCAAGTTTCTTTTGGAGACACTGCGCGTCTGCTGGGCTGTCGGTCGCAAGTCTTTCCGATTCGATGCTGCTATCGTCTACATAAAAAGTCAGACAATACGGTACACGGTTTGTTGGTGTTCCGGATGACACTTAAGGAATACACCTTGTACCGAGTTCCTTGGTTGTCCCAGTGTGGGAAATTGGTGGCTATTAGTTTCCTTATCATCCTTATCTCTTTTTATCCCACAGGAGTAAATTAACAACGCGTGCTCAAGACACCTCACTAGAGGTGTTTACAGAAAACTTGCGCCGACGGCTAATGACCGCCCCCCTGCGTGCGTCTAGTCCTGAGGCCTATTTTATGAGTAATAAAGAAAATGACATTTCCGCCGGAGTGATATCGTCTTCTTCTGCTGCACCTGGCGATCGGCTGCCGGTTGTTGGCCTTGATCCCGGATGGCGCCACGGATGTAAGTGGGCTGCCTGTGATCCACATGGAGACCTTCTGGCCACTGGCATCGTGTGGCCCCCGACTACCATCGCGAAGCACCAGCGCGCCTCACAGCACAATGGGCTCGCTCAGCTCACAGCGACAATGCAACGCCACAAGTCAGTTGTTCGCTGTGTTTAACATTATCTCACTTTTTGAAATACTACTTTGTTAACATGAACTACCGCCTGATCCGTCATCAGGCTACTCTTACAAAACTAATCACTGCACTGCAACCTTTAGTCGGTTGCGGGATCGCCACATTATTGAATTATTGATCGCTTAAAAAAAGGATTTAAGTAGCCGTTTGATTAGTTTTGGCGAGCTGAAATCCAACCAGGAATCATCCTTACGAGTCACTGAAATAACAGCAAATTTTCTTCAATGGGTGTTTGCTCCTTTTCGCTTCAAGCGATGAATGATTTTCGTTCCTCCTAAAGAATTTTCCGCTTTCTGCATCCTATCACGTAATGAGGGTACTTTATGCACAACTGGAATCAAGGTATTCAGCTGTAAAACTCACACACATCTGCATCAATATTATAGGATGTTGCACATACAAAGCTACTCCAAAAGGCATAATATAACTTCGATACCCAAAGTGTGAATTCCCGAACCGTACTTCTGAGTGCTTCGGCGTACGTTTTCTATACTTATGCCTGGCGAAGGAGGCGCGTATTATTTCAGCTACCTCGTAATTTATTAAGTGATCAAGCCAATTGCTATCCTAATGATTTTGATTTAATTTGTTGGGCGCTTCTTTGCGGTCGCTTGGAAGTCAGATAGTTCTCCCCATACCCGGTAAAACTAGCCAGCCGTTTCGACCTCTTGCGTTTTGTCAGCAGTACGCATCTATGGAATCTATCAGGATTGGAACCCATGACCACGAACGGATTACATTGTCATCTAGCAGCTTATGCAAATGAGCCATGACAGACAGCGGAGGGCCGTCATGATAAGACACGCCATATCGCAGTTAGCTTGTAAATCATGACGGTGCGTACCTACTTGTTCTTTCTTTTCCATTGATATCCTTACATTCCAGAGGAGCGAGAATACCGTTGATGAAAACGAATTAGCCATTGCCGCTAGCAGCCCGCTTCGTAAGTGTGATTTACATGGGAGCAATACAATCGGCTCACTCTGTGTGTCTGAAAGGGCGCGCCCCTTTCCAGCTTATGCGTACAGTCAAACGGGTTATTTCCAGAGAGAAGTTTCGTTAATGTTTTTGATTAATTCTAGTCCTACTGAATCTAAATTTGCACAGCTATGATGGTTAAACCGATAGAGGATTCCACAGGTTTTTAACTCTGATGGCCTTTTTAACAGTCTCACGCAATTTCTGTCTAATTCAGTCGAGTTCGCGACTACCGTGAATTTGGCATCAAGCTATGGCGCTACTGTTTATTTTAAAATGGCCAAACTGTTGGTATTAGTCGTACTTGCAACGATTAGCGGATATTACCGATCTAAACAAGGGAATACGAGTCTAGTGTATATCGCTGCTTAAATTCATCCTTTTTAAGTCATACGAGAATTTCTGGGCATCTGGGACCTCCAGACAAGCCGACCCAATGGACAGCATATACTCTGCGAGTTTGAGCAGATATGCTGGGTTTACGTGCCGCCTGGTTTTCTTGACCAGCGTGCCGAGTTGTTCGTTTGTTTCCCCATCTTTGTACTATGTAACCGGGTTTCGTATAGAGAATATTTTGACTAGATTTACTGTCTATTAGCTTGTTTGCATGTCCACGATATAGAACCATTTTCACCCACCATCATCTGATACATCACCTTTTCCGGCTCATCCACACATGAGCCGTGTGATGTGCCCAATAACATTTCGATTGAGCAACACAGATGCATATCTACTCTTACTATTCTTCTTAATCGCAGTGCCGTAAAAACATACTACTGTGTATTCACGGAATCAGGCAAATGTGGGTCACTTTTCACTGTTAACCCATGATATTTCATTACTCAACTGTGTGTGTGTGGTCTTCATCGAGCCTGTCCAGCAACCCGATTTTTCCGCGGTGTAATAAAATCACTTCCTTCGTAATCACGCCAGTGAGCACTTCTCGATGTGCAACAAAGCGTATGCAAGCTAATCATTTGGTATCATCAACCACGTTACGCCCGCTTCCTCATCACAGGCTCCGGACCCTGTTCGCCAATTCCCACTTTCTGACGCTACTGACTGTCAATCGTCCTTTCTCTGCAATTGATCATATTGTCCTTTTCTTTCTTACTAACCTTGTAATCCTTTTGAACCATGCGTATGATTTTAACGTTGCGTCTAGTCATCATCCATCTTCAGATTTGCGTGCCAATTCAATCTACTTGGCTTGCACATTCGGACCAGTTTTCTCCTGAGTATATAAATTATCAATCCTCCACTACCATAGGCTTGCATTTGAATAATGTACACTTGTAGTTTCCCCCACCGCTTTCATAGCTTCTTATGCCCATCTACTGCCAAGTGACTACTGTTATCGCGAACACACTTTCTGCGCTACGTCACTACAATTACCAGAGTGACGAACCTCAACGTTTTCAATCAGTAATTCTTCGACAAGCTTTTATCAATCCTTTTTGCATCCCTGCTCTACCCAGTTTGCTTTGTCAGTGCAAGCCTAACTGTATTTCTCACCCAATTTGTTAACATCGATGAAGCAAACCCCCTTCCTCCATCCTCTCATCTCGGTCTTGTATTCGAATTCTCTCGATCTAGCATCAGCACCATAGCTTTGGGTAATGGACAAGGGAGTCGTCAAACTGGTTTGTGGCTTGCAGAACTCATCACTATCGGTCACTTTTATCCGCTCTCTGTTCGATTTGCCGTGGTGAGTGAGGCTGGAGCCTCTTGGTACAGTGCATCCCCGCTGGCAGATTCCGAACTGCCCACACTGGATGTCAGCTTTCGCGGAGCTGTATCCATCGCTCGTCGTCTCCAAGATCCACTATCTGAGCTAGTCAAAGTGGACCCAAAACACCTAGGTGTGGGAATGTATCAGCATGATTTATCGGAGAAGCGGCTCATAAATGCTGTGAACGGCGTGATGGAAGAGTGCATTAGCTTCGTGGGCGTTGATTTAAACGCCGCGCCCTTACACATCCTCTCCCGTATATCTGGTCTTTCCGAAACTAAAGCCAAATCCATCGTTGCTTATCGTTCTCAAGTCGGTTTATTCCGGACTCGGGAGGATTTGCTTAAAGTAAGTCCTCTTTGGTTCTTCTAATTTCCCTCGCGGTAGTTTGCTTGTTCTTCCTGTCCTTTACACATAGGACTAGCCTCGAAATACTAACCTTCCAATCGCGGTGTACCTGCTCCGTGTCTCTGTCTTGGTGTCACTTGGCTCGAACCTACTGTAATATACCTAGATCACTGAGGCTCTTTTTCGCATAGATCTTGCGTCTGTGCTTGATGTATCTCTTGTCCGATGTGAGACGGATTACGCTAGCCGTTATTGCAACTGTTCGCTTTCATAAGACATTCCGCTCTAGGCTTGTTGGATCAGATCTGTCGGTTTGATTGCTTAGGTGGTGATTCAAACGAGTCAGGGAAGATAGCTGATAAAGGCATCTATCTTCAGCAGACGATATGTAAATGTGTGTTTTGCAGCTTACACTGCGTCTACCGGTCTTCCAAAAAATCCTTCTGAATCAGAAAAGAAACCCTGCCGAATGCGTAAGTTTTACTGAGAAGAGTGGTGCAGTGTAAACAGCTTTCATCAAAACTGAACCCCATTAGGCCACTACCAAGCGCTCAAAAGAGGTAGGTCGCTTCGCCGTTTCGACGAGATCTCTAAAGGTATCAAAGCACGTGAACATTTTCCAATGAGTAACGAGTTTCAGCGTACCCGTAGCTTTCTGAAGCGAAATTTGACATGGTGTCTTCAAATTGACCAGAACTTTGGTGAGTGGCCAGGTTCCGTGAGATGGAGAAATCCGGTGCTATTGGGAACAGCCGAGTACTGTTCCAGCCCACGGGTGTGATAAAATCATTATCTAGTAAGACGATACCTGAGGATGATGAACAGTTGATCCATTCTTGGCCCCCTCGATTAGCTTGTTTGGCAGATTGTTTTGAAGACCAGTTCCATGGGCCTGCTGCGACACTGACGTTTGCCGAGACGCCTGATCCCACGTCAAAAAACTGATGTCACACATTCCACTTTAAAAGAGATTTGACATAAACTCACTGTGTTTAAACGAAACGAAGCTCCTGAATCCGACGCCTTTTCACCATCTTTGCTGAAAGACGGTGACTCTTTGTTGACCGGAATTGCTGATCTACTCAACACTATGTAGGATACTGAAGAGGTGCCTTCAGATTGGCGACTGTCAGCTGTCGTGCCAACTTCAACAAGGGAGCGGGCTTTGTGCGAAAATCATCGAAGCATTATCCTTATTTCCATTTCCTCTGAACTTCTCGTCATTCATTCTTTGACCACCTTATATTTACTCTTCGACAAATGTCAGTTCAGAGTCACTTACAGACGACCAAATATATTGTTTTTTCACTTGAAAGACGTTTTGACTCTGTTGATCGAGCTAACTTGTGGCACTACCTGTCGGTGAAAAACATGCCAGCTAAGCTCCTTTCCATTCTGTAGTCTGTATACCGCGACTTCCGAGGATATATAAGGGTCTACGGAAAGCTGTCTGCTGGCTTGCCCATCTGTCTCCTCGTGGTGCCAGCTGCGTGGTTCGGGATTATCCAGTTCCTGCCGTTGGTTCGGTGGCAGTGTTCCAAGGCGTGGTGGATTTTCGCTTGGCAAGCCTTCTCCCTATAAAAAGCTACATATGTCCGTTTAACAATACTGTGACGTTGCGGATGTGGCTCGTCACTAAATGTAGTCACTGTCTCTTGCTTCACTCTAGTAGAGCATTTTCTTTCAGCACCGTCTTGCTAAAATCTTGTGGAGCATCAGACTCGTGCTTATTAATCGACCAGATGAAAAGCGTATGAACCTAGCAATCAGTCACCGGCTCCCAATGGGCATAATTCCCTGAATTCCCTCTGTTACCTTTCGGGTGGTCTGTTTAGCCAAACACTCAGCGTGGGGTCCCCTAAGTCAACTCTTTACTTTGGCTTGGGCAACCGGATAGTATCACGCCCTCTGACAAAGAAACCATGGACTGCCCTACCATGTACTCACCCGATGCTGTTTTTGCTTCGAACATTCACGCGATTTCACTACACGCCAAATGTTTATTTGTTAACAATCTTTGTTATCAGTTACCTGATTCCTCTGTTCCTGAATCTGTTTGCGATTCCAGTCACACCGCGAACCATGGGGTTCAACCTGTGTCTCTCCTTCGACCCAGACCCTCGTTACGTCTGTCATACTTCAATATACAGACACTCATCCATAGTGGACAGAAAGCCGGTCTAGCTCGTGCCCCAAAGTCCCACATGTTGACGTCTGCTGCATTTTCGATGCCCGATTGCAGGACCCCAGCACTGTGCTTACACTGATATCCTCCACTAACCACGAAGCCACATATCACTTGCATCTTTCTGGAGACCCAAAAGCAGCCTCAGCGGGTTTGGCTGGTCTAGGTATAGCACTAAGTTGCAAGAACGAGACTTCGCTGCTGGGCTTCTTCACAATTAACAACGGATTATGCGCGGTTCGGCTTCCTATTTTATGTAGAATCAACAGGCGTCGAGAAGAGAGACGCGATTTGTTTGTGATCTCTGCATATGCCCCAACAGACTGCAGTAGTGGTTCGGTCAAGGACAACTTTTATCGGGAGCTCCATCAACTCTTGAATAATTCAAAAGTAGGGATAACATTATCGTTGCTGGGGATCTCAATGCACCGGTTGGCCGCCAGGTACCATACGAACGTCACCTTGTTGGTCATCACGCGCTCGATGAGGACCGCTCCGATAACGGAGAGAAAATTCTCACATTATGGGAATACCACTGTCATTTTTATCGTGCACATACTTCAGGCATACGAAGAAACGTTTCGCAGTTTGCGTCCCCCTTCGCCAACACAAGTGTGGTCTCAAATTGGTCATATTACAATCAGCTTTAGGTGACGTGACAGCATACAAGATTGCAGGTCTTTTTGGTCCATTTTTATTAACTCAGGTCAAGCGCTTGTCTGCACGAAAATCTGCATGTGTTTTGGAGGGTCCCTGAAAACGAACAGACTAGCTGATTTCTCGGTCCAGGCGAGCTGTTAGTCTTCACTGGTAGACACACTCAGTTGCATTCTGCCACAAGGTATTGAGCAACACTAGTATACAGTAGACGATCACTTCCGGATAGTCAAGCTGTAGTTTAGCATGACGCCCTTTAAATGCGTGGATCTCTGCTTTCCTCTGGAGCTGTTCGATCGGCGCAGAGATATCCCGGCAGAATCAGATTGTAACGAGCGACGCCACTCTGCCAACCGGTTGTTCAAGCAGAGCCTGCACAAGGATCGCGAGGCTTCGTAGTCTGAACGTGCTTTGGTGATGGAAACTGCTGCTCTCTCTGGCAATGCTCGCAAGCTTTTCCAATTCATTCGGTCCACTGGTCTCAGGAAGCCTGGTGTCAGTGAGATTATTTGCGACGCGATTGGATCTCATATCACCAGCCAACAGGCGTTGGGACATTTGGGCCGAGCACTTTCATTCGCAATTTAACCGGCCTCCACCGTCTGTGAGTGCACGCGGTACCTCTTGTTGCCTACTCTGGCTCATCTCACTGGATCCGCACAGCGAAGCTGAAGTCTGCATCGAGACTGGACACTTAAAGCAATTCAAGGCTGCCGGCTCAGGCGGACCTTTTCCGGAGCTGCTCAAGTACGGCAGCGTGACGATCATTAACCGGCTGACCTCTGTTCGCAAAATTCTGGCATGAAGTAAAAGTATCTTCTTCTTGTGACTATTCAATTATTGTCCCGATTTTCTAGATATGCGCCCGCACTTCACGTGTCAGTTATCGAGGGATCAGCCTCATTTCTGTTGCCTCCAAGTCAGTGGCATCCAGTCTGATTTGGAGACTACCCCCAGCACGTGAATAATATTACCGTGAAGAGCAAGCTGGTTTCCGTCCCTGCCGTGGATGCGTGGATCAAATCTTCACGCTTCACCAACCCCTCGAAGATCGCCACATTCATCACAGGCCCATTATTGTTGCATTCGTAGACATATGTGCTACATTTGACTCCGTTGATCGACCTGCTTGATGGCGTTGGTTGCTGAAGAACAGGGTGCCAGAGAAATACACCGCCATCTTACACGCACTTTACTTTCATGACTCCGGCACAGTTAGTGTTTATGGCAGGCTTTCCTCGCCCTTCGCTGTCAATAGCGGTGTTCGACAGGGCTGCGCTATGTCCCCATTCCTCTTCAACTTCGCAATGGAGGACGTCCTGTTGTGAGCCTATAGCTTCTACCACCTGACGACAACGCACTAAATCGCTGATGTCGCGTCTAGCTGCCCTTGGACTTGTACGTCTTCCTGGATAGGAACCCAAAGATGAGGAGTAGCAGTGCCTTAAGACACCTGAAAACATTACTGGTAACCAGAATCAGTGGAGGAACTGTGTACAGAATTGCATTGATTCACATGCTGTATGCCTCACTTTGAAAATGCGAAAAGCGAAAACGTCAGTACATAAATCACACAGAGAATGTAAACTTCTATTTTTACCAACTTGTACTCCTTTTTCTGATAGGTCCATATACATTTTTCGTACTGGCGACTACGGACATATATATATATATATATATATATATATATATATATATATATATATATATATATTACTCGGTTCTTTCAGAATCTTTCGGAGTTTAAATTTGTCAGGCGATTGACTAACAAGCCTTGAGTATGCACACGAGATAGCTCTCCTTGGGTCTGGCCCAGTGGCTGTGCATGCATTACTTAACTGAATGAGGCGTAGCGTTGCACGCTTCTGTATGCACTTAGCACATCTATGCAAGGAATTATTGTAGGACTTGATCGATACGCCACCGGTTATAGTTATCAGTGAACATCCACTGAAAGTGCTGGATCCGTTTACTTGCCTCAGGAGTGATGTCATCTCTGGTGGTCACATCACAGAGGAAGTTGCTTCGTATATGACGGAGGTGTAACGGCTCAACCATCTATGGAGACGCCGGGATATAAGCCTGTTAGTAAAAGGTAGGTAAGGTCTATTTTGCCATATGGACCAGTGACATGGCCAATTCGCGGCGAAAACATTAAACGGTTGGCCGTGTTTGACCACCGGTGCTCGCGGAGTATTGCTCACATCTGGAAAGAATACCGGGTGAGCACTGCTGAGATGCATTGGTTGGTATTTGGCAAAAAGCATTCTGGTGCCTCACTCTATTGCTTGATGAATCTTAGTTGCCTGCATCCCTAGGTCAGGCCCTCTGTTCGCTATCGCATAACTTCCTCGGCGTGCATTATACGCCGTCGTGCACTAAATTAGGAGAAACCGTGAGGTGATCAATCTATGAGGTGGCATAAATGCATGAAGAAATTGATTGAGAGACTTTGTCGAACTGGTGCATGCCGTCTTCGTGAATTGGGAGCCTCTGGATAGTCCAGATCAGTGGTTGGTTACTCGAGCGCACATGGCGTAGTCAGTGGCGCCCCCGCATATTTTCCGCACCCATCTGCTAACGTTTGAAATTACCGATTCGATGCAACCTCTAGCTTACGTCGTGTGTAAGCGATTTTCATTGCTGAATTCCACGGCGTGGTTGGTATCAAATACTAACGTCTACTTCCTTTCTTTGTACGAGCATGACCAGCATATCCGTTTAGCACCTTTTACGAATTCCATTCAAGGTATGTGCGAGTAAACACTAATTGATGGGTGTCACCGCGATTTTGTATATCATAGCCGTTGTGTTCAAGCTACTTTGATCACCTATTTCCTTGGTACACCGAATGGCACGCTGTCTTACAGCTCGGCCGGTGGCCGAGTGGTCTGCACGTTTTCTTTGCAACCATAAGGTCACCGGTTCGAATCCGCGTAGGGGTGGGCGCCCTCGTGGTATAGTCAGCCCGCGCGCGACTAGTGGTGGTCGCGTGGCAGCGAAGCGCCATTAGGGCGTACAGCCGACACATTTTTTTACATTTACAGCTCGCCATACATTTAGTAAGCAGACAGTCTGTTTGCTGCTAATTTTCCTTTTCGGTATCTTTTTCGATCCCACCCATATCCTTTTTGGCTACTTAGGATTTATCTCTTGCTTATCCGTGCAATCGTTTCGAATCCACGGACATCAAACATCCCTTTAGCACTGGCGACAAGTTCAAACGCAACCGAAGGTGAAGGAAAACATTTACGAAGATAGGTAACGCAGCTTCACACGCCTATACGCACGCATACGTACACTCATGTATTAACATATATGACAATCCTATTATACTGTTGTACGTTTCTTGATCACTTGTCATGCAGGCGTGCCTCACTTAGTCGAGAATAAAAAATTATTTGCTTATTTACTTGCTTCTGGTGTTTCGCGCATTATTTACCTACATAAGGTTACTTATTTCGCCCCGTTGAACCACTCGCTTGCCCTGTTCTGTGTGTCCTCAATCAGCTCGCAGCCATTGAATAGCTACTTTCGCCTTCTTATTCGATCGTAAGTTTGAGGTTCTTTCACTGAGATACATATAATCGGTTCGTGCTAATCTCTGGCGGCCGGCATCATTTTCCAGGTGAAAGGCATTGGCCGGTCCACATTCGCTCAGTGCGCCGGGTTCGTACGAATTCGGCCGCCGTTTTCTAACGTTCTGCTGGATGGCTCCAAGTACGTCACCCTGTCATTCCTGGTTGTTGCTTGAACATAGCTTCCCAAACTCTTCCTCTGGGCATCCACGAAAACTCTCCATCGTGATTCTATTCTTTCAGAGACGTTGAAATGATCTCGATATCCAGTGAGAATACAGATGATGATGCTTCGTTGTGCAAACCTGGGTCTAAGCGAAAGCTTCCCACCACCTCTGGCCACATAAAGCGACCGAAGTGCTCTCGTACAACCCCTGACTTCCTTCATTTCAACCCCCTAGACCAAACTGCTGTACACCCAGACACCTACAATATTGCAACTGCGTAAGCTTCTTGTTTGCTTGCTCCCAGTTCCAGTTCTATTTCTGCTGCGTCATACTCCGGGCATTTTATTTCCTTTCATTATGCTTTTTCAACTTGCACACGTGGTTTAGCTTTGCCCACTTTTATCGCCCCCGCATCATTGACCGCAGTTGTTATGTGCATGATTCTAGCTTTTAATGTTCTACTTTTCAAAGCAGCGGAAAGCGGAAGCCTACCGATTGTTTTAACGAATTTCGACAACTGCGCCTTTCTTTTAAACCAACTTCCATTTGCACGTTTCAACAGCTTTTCCTTTTTAGTTATAAAGGCACGAATCAGTCCGTCACCCAAGGCAATGGACCTCTAATCCGCGGACTCGGAATCTCGGTTGTCTTTTATCCGTTCTCCGGCACATGTTCTTTGCCCTCATGGCATTACCGTTAGTGGGCACTTCAGTGGCATTCCGCTATGGTGTATCTTCCGAAGTAGCACTTGTGGGGGTATGCGATGGACTCTATACTAATTGGTCGTCCCATCTGATGGCTTCATTTTGATATCCTCCTATCACTTGCTGTGATGTGAACAAGCCCAACCACTGCGACAAGTGGCGCCTTTATTGTAGACTCTGTGAACTACTTGCTTAGTTCATTACACCATGGCAATGTTACGTTCAGATCGATATGCTGGCATCGCATGATAAATGCCAAAGCGTCTGACATTGCTGAGCACTGCAATCACTGGGAATGCGCGTTAATCCAAATTTCCCATATTCCGTAGCCCTAGCGATAGATAGTTTTGCATGAGTTTGACTTGGGCCAACTCTCATCTACCCGTTACTTTTATATCAAAAATCAATTCTTTAGTATTTCCTTGGATATTACCTACACGGGAGTTAACCTGTGACAATGTGTTGTCCAATTAACGTCCAATCCGACGTTAGGGCTCACGGCTAGGTCCACAGCTTGAACATCGGATTCTTGTCACATCACAGGTGTGTGTATTAGCCAGCTACTTACACTTTAGCGCTCCGGGAATAGACGAATATCCATTAACGAGAGCCGGAGAATGCGTTTGTGCATGTTATCCGAGGTTCCAAATTATCCACCTACACCTTTAACGGATGTGGATGAAGTGCGACTCCCTAGTTGTTACTACACCCAACCATATCCGCTTTTTGCCGGTACTTTCGGCTCTTAAGAACCATTTGAAAAAGCTCGATGGTCTGCTCCATGAATTCAACCTCATCATTTTCCAATATCCTTTCTTTTCAGACTGATTGAATCGTTAAAATGTGAACTGACAGACGTTGGAAAGCCGCGGTTACGCGAGGCCGCGTCCATTTTCATGAACACCCCAGACCGTGAGTACCCGAGACTATCTAACTGATTGTCTCTTTCTGCGGGACTGTACGGTTTCGTTTGGCACTTTCATCATGCACATGCGCTTTTCTGCTGCCCTTGCTTTATTCGCCACCACTGCTGAAAGTCCTTCAACCGATGGGTGGCTTACGCAGTGCTTTTCTCAAATCGGGCAGAGCTGTGTAGGACATTACAGGCAATCCAATCTCTTTCTCTGGGTTTACTGAGGAGATGCAGAATGCTATGGCTCAGATCGGTTGCTCAATCCTCTTTGTCTATGCTAACCAGCGTCGCGTTTGTTGATGCCACGACGTGGTATTGGAAGCTGCGTAACGTTGCAACTGTTTTCGATTTGTGCCATCTGGTGGTCTATGCATGTTTGATCACAATTTGTATCCTCTCTCCGTACGCCACGCCTACGTGATGTTTTCTCACTACGGTGATATTGTGCAAGTCAGTTCCCATTGTTTAGGCCTGCGTCGTTGTCCACTCGTTGTGCAGCCTTTATCCCAGCTGGGTAGCTGTCGATTCATTACTTTCTACCGATTAGTTATGTTTTCCCTCAGTCTTGAAGTCCATCGTCGCCCTTTGGTCATCACGGTGTTTTATCATTTTCTCCTCCTAGGCGATGAGCGACTGAAGCAGTTTTGTACAGAGACCTATGGTTTGGACACGTTACGAGATATCGTGGAGGCCCTTAGACGACCTTTGGATTTTGACGAAAGACAAGGTTAGTTGTGCTGTGGTCCATGGGACGTTAAATGTCCATCCCAGAAGTGCCAGTGGGGTGGACATTTTCTTTTCTTTTTCGTCGATGCATCTTCTCTCAGAATTGTCCCAGTCTTCACCAAGACAATCCATCCCACAGTCACATTGCGTCGCGGCGCCTTTTGTCTGACCATGGACTGCTTTGATGTCACCGATTCTTAATATTTGACTCTTCTGAGCTTGTAACACTAATTTGTTGATTTTCATGCTAACATTTGTTCGTTGCTCGTAACCGATCAATGACCCCAGCTTGGCAACTGGCTGTGTCTCGCAATGACGGCGGGTACTCATCACACACCACATTACGAGAGCTGCGAAATATTGGTTGCACAGTGAACTCTTTCTCTCTTCTCCACATACTTTTCAGTTTAGAATGTGCTTCATCCTTATACCAGCCACTTTGAATTCACTTTATGTGAAAAACGTCGGCACGAAGTTAGTGATCATCTTCTTATAGGCTTGTTACCTACAACAATCGCTGTCCTCGCAGTTTAGCTGGGGTTTAGGGAACATTGCATGAACAATGATTGTGCTCGGCGTGGTGTACTTTGTGCAGAAAATAAAAGTGTATCGCTTAGCACCGTTATATCGCACACCAGGCTCCGATGGCTGTGCCGCGTGTTGCGCATGTCAGCATACCGACTCTCACAACGTGCGTTGTTTGCGCGACAGGGATGTGAATGGAAGAATAGGTAGGGATGTCAATCGATGACTTGCTCAAGATGAATGAAGGCCCTCACTCCGAACTTGGTATTGCTTGCTATCTTCCCGACTCCCAGGCTGGGCTTCCAAAGAGGATGAACGCGCATGGTTGGATACACTAGTTGACATGGCGAAAAGCTGACCTCAAGGGCATTTGTGTTATGAGTTTCTTTGTCTTTTCTCCTGCGTATCTTTCCTCTCCAACCACATTCTCACACCCGGTGCATAATATGATACTAAGGTTCCTATTACTTTCTTTGGTTTTTATATAGCTTTCTATAAGGTTACATATTCCACCTTTTTCATACATTATATTGTTTTTGTATTGCCTTACACTAGCTGTAGTATGTTTCTCACCTGCTAGCATGTTACGTGTGTGTTCTTATGGGTCGTTTGCTATTCGTACATTGTGTTCCCTCGTCTGTTGGGATCGCACTCAGGGCTATTCGGCAGCGACTTCAGTAATCACATTGCACTTGGCTCGCTAATTGTGTTTTTCTTTCCAACCGACTACGTTCTCATTCTGGATATGGATAAACTTGTATTTTCGATGTACAGAAGATGCCTTTCTACTGTCTGCCCAATCATGAAATGAGTCCCGACCTGCTGTATAACGGACCGAAGCTTATAGTCCTTAAGTAAACGTCGTTGACATTCCGTTAACGAATCTTTGCCTTTATTACTAATAATACATTCGATCTGAGGTAAGTGCATTAATTTTGTCTCCCACGATGTGCACGCTTAGAGCGACGGTCGATACACTCACGCTGGCGACTTTATGTGGTGATCTTCCTTCCATTCCCCTCTTGTAGACTGTTTCCTCCCACTATTCCATTCGTCTGCAATGAGTTTATCCGACTTGCGTCCCGGTATGCAGGTGAGCGGTCGTGTTGAAAATGTGACAACCTTCGGGGCTTTCTGTGATATCGGAGTGCATCAAGACGCATACATACCCAGACATATGTATCCACAAACCAAACAGTCTGATGGACTCTTTTCTCTGCGTCTCGGCGATCGCATCACTGCTGTCGTCAGCCACGTGCATGTCAACCAAGGGCGAATTGCGTTAGAAAAGGTTTCAGTTTTACCTCCTGTCTCGTGCTCATGATATTTACTCTATTTCACCGACCATTTGTTCTGTATACTTTTTTCCACAATGTGTACACTGTTTTCTTACTAGTTTGAGCCGTTTTCCTGAATAGATGACATATGTTTTGCTGTCTATTCTTTGTTTGTCCACGCCGCACCTTCCTAGTTCTAATGTTTCTCTCGTTTTCCGCTTTAGTCACGTGCCTATGACCTGTCTGATCCACCGTGCACCCCGCTACTTTAACTAACTACATGCTAATTCACCTAACAGCCTAGCAGCCATTCACATGTGAATAGGTGATACCGTTCCGTTTCGGCACTCACACATTTCCTCCGTCAATTTATCTTAGACATGAAATGCACCTTTCACTTTTACTAGCTATATGCTTGTTAAAAAAGGCCTTCTCAGGTCAGGTAAATATTGTTGAACAACTGGTAACGATTGAAAATAATCGTGGGTGAGGCCCTTGAACTTTTGCATCGTGAGGTGGTCTTTCGTCTTTAACTAGCCTAGGCCCGGCGGGTTGAACCTCCGCCCTCCGCGTATGCTACATGCTGGCATTTGTTTGCTAATTGAGATAGGGAAATGATGGATGCGAGTGCGGTTAAAAAGAAATAAGCAGACAATGTAAGTTTAGGGACAAGGGGCATCATGCGAAAATCAACATTACTTTCTATGCGAAAATCGCTTTACCGCTCCTCCCAGGTCGAGTGGAATGTGTCCAAATTGCAGTGTTTTTCGTTTTCTCTTTAGATTTTTACGGAAGATCATTAGTTATCCTTACGAACTAGGGTTGCTACCAAGTGACCCAATGACCGAGTACTGGCCATCTGCGTTAGGTCCAGTCTTTTTGCAAGCCATTACGCATTGAATGACATGGCGTTTCACACCTCCGAAACACAACCGCGCCGTCTCAAAAGAATGGCCACTTGGACCGACTAATCAGCTCATCTGTCTAAATGGCTATGTCCCGTCCATTGATCGAATCGCCCAGGAAGTTAATTCTCGGCGTTTGAAATCATGGCACCCTTTCGAGACCTAATTCACCTTTGTGATATTAGCTCATCCTCCATTGTTTACATTTTGATTAAACTTGACAGCTGTGCATTTAAAGGTCCATAAAACGGGCGGTCTTTGAGCACCGGTGCTTACGATGCATATCAGGTGGAAGGATTATGTAAGCAACACTGAAGTCAATCAGCTGTTGTTCCGTTGTGTAGATCTGATGTGGCGCTAGACCGTGTATCGCGATCGGTCAACTGGCATACAGTTGCCGCGCTTGATTAGGCCAGTCTACGGGACTTCGTAAAGAAACTGGGCAAAAGTATGATCGGTCTGTTGCGAATTGTCGGCAGGATGAAATCAGGTGCCATGATCCAGGGTGAGAGATGGTTACTACGCGTTGCACTGGTTTTGTCTTCCCGTCGCTGCGAGGTAGGATCCAAACGTGGTGCAATGGTACGCGTATCTTTCAATCGACTGAACTGTGCTGGTTAGTGTTTCCATTCATCTTGAGAGCTACTTTCACCGGACTTTAGAGTACCTAATAGATTTCTTACCGTGTTCAGCGGAGTCTGGTTTACCATCATTTCCCAGATTGCAAGGGGCCGTTGCAACTCCGGTGCCATTGCGGGTGATTTAATCTACTCAAACGCAGTAAACGCTGTCCAATTCAGAGGTAGGTTACCACCAACACTAGTGAGCTGGAAGTTAACTGACTAGACTTAGGCATGGGCTAGGAAGTCTCGATTCCTTGGCCCATCGGATTGGGGTTGTATGGGCTTGGCGCACATTTACGTATTCGCAGTCTATCTCGTGAACAGTGGTTAATCTCGCTGTGTTGCGATCAAAATAACCTGGATCTACTCTCGCAGTGCCAAGCTTTACATCATTCTGGTCTCAACCACAAGGCTTCCATTCGTAGTCCACAGCATGGGCGTCAACAACTACAATGCTACTGGTATTTATCGTCCGCATCCTCGTCACTACAATACCCAGCAATATCTTGCCAAGATAGGACCGCTTATCAGATGAATTTTATTTCCTTTCTACAGTCAACCTTTATAGGACAAACAGTATACTGGGCTGCGCTTACGGTTACACTGAATAGCCTACGTTTGCGTGTGCTGTGTCCTCGAAACTCTAATTCACAACTCATGAAATTCTGGAATCATATGTGCCTAGCTTATCCTCTCGCGTCGTTTCAAAACTGATACCATGATGCAGTGGGTACCGATCTTAACGTCAGAGCTGGATCTCTGCTGTATTCTCACTAGCAGCGTGCTTGACTGCATCGACCAAGACAAGGTTAAGACCTCGTGCTAGGCTTGTTGTTCGTGTTTGTTGCTTATATTCTAACTGACCGTCTTCCTGATATTGACAGGTGCGTTCGGCCGTAAATGTAACATGTTATCAAATACTGATGAAAATCCAATATACTCCTACTGGTCACCAAGGCGATATCATACTGAAGCATGCATTGGTCCGGCCGCAGTAGTCGGTACGATAGATTAAGGATGTTGTGGGGTTTTTCGGCATGCCGTTGGACAACAACAATCTCAAGAGCCAAAACAGATTTAAACAAATGATGCTTTGATTGCCTTTGGAAAATAAGGCGGTCGTATTGTTCACCACTGCACCTCGTATGATTACCGATGAATCGTCTAGAAGGGATTTAGAAACGAAGTAATTTTCAGATTCACAACTAACAGTTCGCGCTCTCTTTGGATGCAGGCGTTAGGGCCGATGACGAGCAGTCTCGTGCCAAGGCTGTTGTGTTGAGAATGGTCTCAAATACGACATACTGCAATTCGGATGCGCAGCTTCGTGTCGGCATCGAGAAGTACGAGTGTACTTAACATTAGTGTCGATAAGGTGATTAGATATGAAACCTAGTAATGCATCACCAGTACGCCGGAGCATCATGCCAACACTTCGCTACCCATTGACTCCTATCGGCTGCCTGCGGACTAGGTGAACTGTCAGACCGCTCGCACCTACACAGATTTGTGTCCATGACCTACGGACTACAAGGTAGACGTCAAATGACCGTGATGAAATATTTACGATCCAGTGACTCCATGAAAGTGCGCACTGATTCACGAAGAACACTACGTAGGTAGCGCACGGATCCCATGGTGCAACCAGGACTGAAGGTGAACAGTCGCCATTTTAATGTAGACGCTGTGGTTTGAGAACACCTACAAGGTGTGATAATAGACATTCCTACCTGTGATAAATAAATAATGGGTATATTTATCGATGGTGCGAGGCACAGTCCAACTGATGGGTCTGATCGTTATGTACAACGGGATTGCATGGGACGGTTAATATTTCTTCGTTTATTTCAGCGTAGTTCCAAAACTATTTTGCGGGGATGATTGATCAGTTGCATCTTTCAAATAGATGGATTGGTTGATGATAATAATAAGTGCAGATAAATCTATATATTCTAGTAAAGTAATACGGCCAGTCGTGGATCCATACCCAGGGGACCTGCTTCCATGAAGTCTAGTTCTTCCAAAGGTTTAACCCGCACTTCCATGTCTGTTCTGACCGTGTGTTAGAGGGGCCTTAAAGCCTTTTTAGGACTTTTTAAATGAATATATGGACATTTAGGCCCGTACCAACAATTGGTTTTCTTGAGTCAAATACTTTTATTACTCGTTAAGGAGTTTATAGCATCTTGCTTCGCATGGTTGCATCCACTAATTTAGAAGCTAAAATCCATCACCTCATGAGATCGACTTAGTCGTGGCCAATAATGGATTAAAGAAGGATATAGCATATAAGGAGGTAGAAAGGTAATTACGTTAATAATAATAAATAAGAAATTATTGTATTTAAATACCGTCAAGAAATGCCGACGTAATTGTGCGGTGGGATCGCCGTAATAGGTGACTGCTCTGATCATCGATATACGACGCAGTTCTGAAAGGAATCTTCAAGTTTATCCAACAGTTTCCTGTGCTCACAAAATACAGTATTTTGTATCGCGGAGTACTGAGAATTGCCATCTGCTCCTTGGCTATTGCTCTAGAGAAAGTAGAAGAAATATTCAATATTACTAGAAGAAGGGAAACGAAAAATACAGTTTACATCTGGACGTTGTGAGATACGGATTGGGTTGACCTGGTCGAATTTTATAAATAGAGGGTTGAAAACAGTTTCAGTTGTCACAAGGAAAGTGGATCCGGATCGTTGCGTCATCGGCAGCCGAGGTGTGTAGGAATTGACATCGACGGATGTTATGAAGCGCTCTAGTTTTGTGTTGATACCTCCGGTCAGGAAAATGAATTGGTTAGAAATACGGAAAACAGTCCGTGCATACATACCTAGGTGTTGAGATGGTCGCAGATCAAAATTACTTTTATCTAGATCTATAGGTTTTGTTCTGCAGGGCACTTTCCTGCATCATTACGCTGCAGGCCAGAATGGTTTTGTTGTGGCCAACAGTTACGGGGTATCAAAAAGTTGGATACGGGAGGATAAGATGGTGGCGATGAATATCATATCTTAGATATCTGCTAGACCGTTTTCATATGGGATCTCCTTCGTGACATTTTGTCACAGCATCTCGGTGGCTTTTTCAACAGTCAACAAGGTGCGGATCTCCTTACAAAAGACTTCAGGTGATCTACATTCTCGCAGATTGGACGGCAGCCTATTCCATATATTTACGTAAATGTTTGTACGTGCCTGAGTTCTAGGCCTTTCTATTTTTAGCAAGTTGTGGCTGTTTCGAATACTATAGTTTGGTCCAACTTTGAATTGCAAATCCAGGCTTGGGGCATAAACACGCTTGTGTATGATATCAAATAAGAGACATACATATTAAGTTTCATCCGTCCGAATCATACCGCGTCTGATTTTAAGGCCTTGTAGCGTTGTGCATAAGAGCTTCGAGGGGACAATCCCAGCAGATGTTTAGTGAACGATCTCTGCAACTTCTCCAGTTGATGGCGATCACCTTTTCTTTCATCACTTTAGGCCAATGCACAATAGTATAAAAACGGTCGGGTTTTTGTCTTGTACAATGTGGATATGGGAATTGTAAATGTTTTGAAAAGTAGTCCACTGCTTCGACGAGCTTTAGCAACTGCATTTGTCATGTGCTCCATAAAGTTCAGTGAGCCAGCATAGTGAAGACTCAAGTATTTTACTGCACGGTTGCACGCTATTGGTTTTTCACACAGAACCAGGGTGCCAGGTGCGATTGTACGACGGAACAGTGGGGCACTGCACTTCTCGGTTAAGAATGACATATCCCATTTGGTGCACCATAACTCAAGGGCTTTCAAATCAAATATAATGGCGTTCATGGTGTGGTTCGTGTCAGTAACATACAAGGTGTAAATGATTT